CTTGTCAGCTCTACTTTTTGCTCCAACCCCGCACCTTTGTCACGGAACAAACCAAGGTGGGGTTCATTATTTCACTCCTATTAAACGAACCACAGGCTTGGGCCCACCGTCTCCTGGAACTATCAGACCCTCTCCTGGAGTCATCCAAGGGATTCATGGACGCCATGGCCCTGCTATATGATGACCCGCACCGGGTCTCGTCCGCTGAGACGGTTCTAATCTCACTTCACCAAGGTCGTCGACCTGTAGAAGACTATGTGGCGGAATTCAAGAGGTGGGGTTCCGACACAGAATGGAATCAGGCGGCACTCCGCCACCAGTTCCGCCTAGGATTATCAGATCCCCTGAAAGACGAGTTGGCACGAGTGGGAGTGCCCGATGTCCTGGATGAACTGATCCTACTGGCCATACGGATTGATCGTCGCCTCAGGGAACAAAGGACGGAGAGGGCTAGCCAGCCCCGTCCCACCTGGATGCTGCCTCGAGTTCCCGCAACCCTGCCAGCTTTTGGGCCTGGCCATTGACCATCACCATCGGGGGGAATCCCGGAACCTGCAGAACCCATGCAGATAGGTCTGTTGCGAGGCCCACTCACCCCAGAAGAGAAGGAGCGACGTCGCCAGCTGGATTTATGCCTGTATTGCGGTAGACCGGGACACTACGCACGAACCTGCCCCAACAAGAACCGTAAGTGGCCACTCACCAACCTCTCACCTGATTCTGGGTTGATGCGGATCTCCTCTCACCTTGTTGTTCCTGTGTCGTTACAGCTGCCCGGGAGGGTTCTCCATTCCCAGGCCATCCTTGATTCCGGAGCATGCAGCTGTTTCCTGGATCACAGATTCGCCATCCAGCACCAAATCCCCCTGCAACTCAAGCTCAAGGAATTACTCGTCCATCTGGCAGACGGCAGTCCTCCCAGTTCTGGACCTGTTACCCAGGAAACTATCCCCATCTCTGCTACCATCTCTTCCGGACACCGTGAACTACTCTGCTTGGACGTCATCTCATCCCCTCTGTCACCGATCATCCGAGGAATGCCGTGGTTCCAGGCTCATAACCCACACATTGATTGGGCCACAGGGACTGTCTCCTTTAATTCGGCTTATTGCAAACAGAACTGCCTACACTCAGAGGAGCCCCAGGGCCTGGCACTCTGCCAACCAGCCCCGGACCCAGAGCTACGTCGGAGGGTTCCCCGAGTCCACCATGACTTCCTCGATGTATTCGACAAACAAAGGGCAGATACGCTTCCTCCGCACCGGGTCTATGATTGCCCCATCGATCTACTACCTGGCCATCCCCTTCGGGCGCATTTTTCCTCTATCCGAACCAGAACTGGACCCTCAGGATATATATCGAGGATAACCTGAAGAAGGGTTTCATTCGCCCATCTACATCCCCGGCCGGGGCGGGAATCTTCTTAGTGGAGAAAAAAGATCGCACCCACCGTCCTTGTGTCGACTACCGGGAACTGAACAATATCACCATTAAGAACCGCTATTCTCTTCCCTTAATTCCGGAGTTGTTCCAGCGATTGCGCTCCGCAGCGATATTTACCAAACTTGATTTGCGGGGTGCCTACAATCTCGTGCGGATCCGGGAGGGGGACGAATGGAAAACGGCATTCCGTACTCGGTTCGGGCACTATGAATACCTTGTCATGCCCTTCGGGCTCTGCAACGCCCCGGCCACCTTCCAACACCTGGTGAACGATGTCTTCCATGATATCCTAGACCTTTTTGTCATTGTCTACCTTGATGACATCCTCATCTTCTCGGCCTCCCTGGATCTTCATCGCAACCACGTGAAACAGGTTCTCACCCGTCTCCGACAGCAGGGGCTATATGTTATAGCTGAGAAGTGCGAATTTGAGCGTCCATCAATCCAGTTTTTAGGGCTGGTTATCTCCCCCAGTGGCATCTCCATGGACCCTCAGAAGATATCGGCCATCTTGGATTGGCCTCCACCCATGGACAGGAAGGGTGTGCAGCGCTTCGTGGGTTTCGCAAACTTTTATCGGAGATTCATTCTGGATTTTTCCAAAATCGTCCTGCCTATCACACAGTTAACCAGGAAACTGAGTCATTTTCAGTGGTCTCAAGAGGCCCAGGCAGCCTTTACTCAGCTCAAGCTACAATTCACGTCCGCCCCGATCCTGAGGCACCCAGACCCCGAGCTGCCGTATGTCCTGGAAGTGGACGCCTCGGAAGCTGCAGTTGGGGCTGTCCTGTCCCAACGTCAGGGCGTGAAAAGCCTCCTGCACCCCGTGGCATATTTTTCCAGAAAACTAAGTGTGGCCGAGAGGAATTATGACGTTGGAGACCGGGAACTTCTAGCTATCAAATTGGCACTAGAAGAGTGGCGGTACCTACTGGAAGGAGCCGCCCACCCGGTTCTGATATATACAGACCACAAGAACCTGGAATACCTCCGGTCAGCAAAAAACGTCTGAGACAGCGGCAGACGCGGTGGGCGCTGTTCTTCTCTCGTTTCCAACTCCATATCACGTTCCGCCCTGGGTCACGCAACGGGAAAGCAGATGCGTTGTCCCGTATCTACACGGCACCAGAAACTCCGAAGAGACCAGACACCATCCTGCCAGTAACCCAGTTCCTGTTGTTGCAGCCTGACCTGGTTTCCCACATTCAGCAGGCATCCAGGATTTCACTGCCCTCGGACGAATCAGGAATGTCCCAGCAAGTTTATTTCCATGAGGATAGGATCTTCGTGCCCTCTAGTGCCCGCACAGCGGTCCTGGGGCACTGCCATGACGCACCACTGGCTGGTCATTTCGGAGCCCGCAAAACCACAGATCTGATACGACGGACATTTTGGTGGCCTTCCCTGGCAAAGGACTGCCTACAATACGTGGCGGCCTGCCCTCACTGTGCCCGCAACAAGGGACGGTCTTCCCAAGCCTGGGGCCTACTACGGCCACTCCAGATTCCGTCCCGTCTTTGGACTGCCATCTCCATGGATTTTATTGTGGATCTTCCGCCTTCCAAGAATTGCACGGCCATTTTCGTGGTGATTGACGGCCTATCCAAGATGGCCCACTTCATTCCATTACAGAAGGTTCCCACGGTCGAGATCCTAGCCCGCACATTCATCCGGGAGGTTGTGCGTCTTCATGGGGTCCCCACCGACGTGGTCTCTGACAGAGGGGTGCAATTCACCTCTAAGTTCTGGAAGGCTCTTTGTACAGCTCTGGGCATCCATCTGAGTTTCTCATCAGCTTACCATCCTCAGACCAATGGTCAGACAGAACGGACCAACCAAACTTTGGAGCAATACATCCGTTGCTTTTCCACCTTCTCCCAAGACAACTTGGTATCCCTGCTTCCATTAGCAGAGTTTGCATACAATAATGCCAGACATTCCACCACGGGCCAGTCACCTTTCTTTTCCAACTACGGCTTCCACCCAGCCTGTTTACCCACCCGGAGACTGGATTCGGCAGTCCCGGCTGCCCAAAAGACAGTGGACTTCCTCCACTCCAATATCATCCTGCTCCAATGGGCCATTTCCAAGGCCCAGGTTGCGGCCAAGGGCGCGTATGATCGTTCCCGCAGAGGGGATTTAACATTACAACCTGGAGATCTGGTGTGGCTGTCTACTCGGAACCTCAAACTGGCCTGCCCTTCCAGAAAATTGGGACCTCGGTATATCGGGCCTTTTCCGGTGGAACGCCAAATTAACCCAGCATCCTACCACCTGACCCTCCCGCCAGCCTATAGGATCCACCCTGTCTTTCACACCTCTTTATTGAAGCCAGTCCAGCCGGACATTTTTTCAGATCGCTCATCAGACATTCTGAATCCTGTGCTAATCGACGGAGAGGAGGAATACGAGGTGGAAGCGATTCTGGACTTTCGCAGGCGTAGGGGCAAACCGGCGCTTCCAGGCCGCGCAGGCGCAGACATTAGACGACCCGGCGGGGTCACGCGGCGTGACGTCACTACGCGGATATGTCCCGGTGACGTCACATGCGCATGCGCAATAGGCCATCCCAGGGCTATATAAGGCGCATCTGATCACTCATTCAGTGCTGAGTGACCTTCAGCCTGTGTGGATGTCTGTGTCTTGCTCCTGTTTCCTGGAAACCCTGTGATCTGGCTTAGTTCTGACGATTCTTTTGATTACCCCTTTGTACTGCCTGTGCCCGCCTGTTATCGACCCGGCTTGCGTTCTGACGACTCTTTTGGATTATCCTCTGTACTGCCTTTGCCCACCTGTTGCTAACCCGGCTTGTTCCTGACGATCCATTGGATTTTCTCCGGTACTGCTCGTGCCACCTGTGCTGGATCCAGTCTGCCTCCTAACTCCCCAGTTGGGTAACTTAACGGCCAACTGCTCCATCAGGTCTCTACTCATCAGAGCAACCCGGAGTCAGCACCCAGCACCCACGCACCCCCTGCCTGCGCACACTGTTTATCAACCCCAGTGGTCACAGACGGGGTTGCAAGGGAGGTCCTCCTCGTCAACTCGGGCCCACACCACAACCCTTACACTCAGTCATGAAGGGGTTACGGTCACACGATTTTCGTATAACGAGCACGCTCGCAAGACGAAAAGCAGCACGGCCCGAGGTGTGCAAGCGCACATTGCCCGCTGACCATTGCAATCATCTGCAAGCCCTCCCCTCAGCGGGGAGGACTTGCGATGATTGCAAGTACGATCTGCCTTTCCATGATGGGCAGGTCATATGAAATTGTAATCACCTTATAACCATCGCACAACGAAAGTCGTGCAATGGCTGTAAGGTGTATGGCTGCCTTTAGTTGCCCAACCGAGTTATTTCAGACATGTTGGCAGGTTAGGCTGACTGCACCTTGAAATTTTGTGTAGTACCAGACTGACAAAATAAATTCTGTAGTTTGGTGTATTTTTCCCAAGGTTTGTTGACTCCTGACCTCTGTGCATACAGTTTGTGTTATATGACAGATGCTTGTGATCAACCTATCTGTGACAATTGTGTTAATTGCATCTTCAATTAGGTGACATTTCAGATGAAGATTTCGAGGAGACCATTCTTGCAGACACCCGGCCTCTTACCTGCAAGAAGGAACCAGTCCCAGCCACAGCAAAGCAGAAGGGCAAGACAAGAGCAGGTGTGTGATCTCAAGTAACTCTGTAACCTCTCTTACAATAATATTTAACTTCATACAAGACGTAGAATGTACATTAACAAGTCTTTTAATGTTTAACAGCATTAGTACCAATAAAAGATGTTTTGTCTTACAATTTTTGGACCATGTTTGAATGCTGCTCTCTTCACAGTTTCTAGGTAAATTATTAAAGCAGAACTCCAGCCAACAGATCCATATACAGTTAAAATGCACTTACTGTTTAACACTATAATGATCGGCATTATTTCCTCCAACCATCCACATTTTTTGTAACACTATACCATACTAAGATTGCTATCAATTGATAGAAGCACTATGGTGAAAAATACTCAGAGGTTTCTCTAAAAGGTGGGGGCACCCAAAAAGTGTTTTATCTATTTGGTAACAGGCTCAACCTGCATGGCATCGGTGGTGTATGTTGTTTTGTGCTGCCCTAGGCAAGACTAAACTCGGGCACCCCCCAATCTAAATTTGCCCCACCCCTTCCTGTTTAAGACATTTTGCGTAACCTGTCAGTCGCTGGATATAGTGTGCACGCTGTATCCAGCTTCTGACAGGTTACTATTAGCGTAGCGAAGAACCCGTTGCGCCTTTTGCTTATCCTGTCAGAAGCTAGATACAACGAGCGCCTGTTTAAATAGTAGTGTTATCACTTCTGTCAGCGCCGGAGAGAAGAGGCTGAGCTCGTCAGTGGATTCGGGTAAGGATAATTTATTTGATTTATTTTTCCCTTAATGGCAGGTGAGGCCTCACTGATTTGGGGGCAGCGTTTTTTGAAACCCCATAGTTCTCCTTTAAAGAAAAAAAATACGAAAAAAAATCTTCCAGTGGGGGGCCTGGGCCTGGGACCTCAGTGGGGCCCCCCCAGCCTCAGGCTCTCGTGCAGCCGGCGGTAGGTCCACCCCCCATCCAGCATGACACACCCCTACCTCTTGACTCTTCTCAGCTGTCAAACTAGGAGACACGGCTGTGTTAACGCAGCAACGGCAGTGTCTGGTGGGCCTGGTAGGCGGGCGACACTGCCGTCGCCGCTTTATCACAGCCGCGTCTCCTTCCATGCGGGCTGGAAGGGGCACAGGGGGTGGGATGCCGCCAAGGGGACGCCTGCCCGTATGGTCAGTCCGCCCCGACTACAAATACATCATATTGCAAATCAGCTTAATTAAAAGGAGAGCTATGAGGTGAGTGCTTTTCACTCACCTCACAGTTCTAGCCAACCTGTGACAATGAGACTGCCACAAGTCGGCTCAGTAGATCGGGAGGTGAGCGAACACATACCGGCGTTCGCTCACCTCTGGATCACCTCTGGATTCCCCCCTCCGATTTGCCAGCACTGACTGGTGGAACGGACTGGGAGGGGGCGGGTACAGCTGGCTCTGCCTCTAGATAGGCAGAGCCAGCTGTCAGTCACGCAGCTGGGCGGTTCCCGGCACAATTGTCGGGATCCGCTTCAGCTGCGGCGTCTCAGTATACCGCGAGCTGCAGCTCGCGGTATACTGAGCCTAGGGTGACGGGAGGACGCTAGTTTGTGTCCTTCCGTTACCCTAAGGAGAACTATGGGGAAAAGACTTAACCCCATAGTTCTCCTTTAAAACCACCAGCTTCGAGAGCGCATGCGCGAGCTTGACCAAGATGGCCGCACGCTAATCAGCTCCGCGCCAGAACGGGAGAAAAACTGATCTTTACGGCAGATCACCGGACTCGTTTTCACCCCCGGTACAGATCCCTAGACTCGGGCTCCCACCGCCGATCGGTAACTACCGAGATGTCGCAGACGAGAAGTCGGGGTGGTAAGATGAATCAACCGACCCTCCACGAGGCCTTAGGCCGCGCGACCCACAAACTGGCTGCAGCGCCGCCAGTCTCTCATCAAGAGGACTCTAACTCCTCGATGGAACCCCAAGACCCACAAGGTGACAGCTTGCAGATGGCTCAGTCTGACCCTGAGATGACGCTGTCCCTGATGGCCCAATTCGAGGTAACCCTCCACAAGGCCTTGGATAAGGTCTCTAAGCAGATCACCTCACAGCTCATTAGGGAAATCAGGGATGTGGGCAAACGAACTTCCACATTGGAATCCCGCTGCAACAACATCACTACCATCATTGAGGGTCATGAGGAAGATTTGGAAAAACTTCGGTCACTGAATCTAACCCTTCTCACACAATTGGAAGACACTGAGAACCAGGATCGCAGATCTAACCTGCGCATCAGAGGGGTCCCAGAGGCGGTGATAGATCTCCAATTCACTATAACTGCACTATTTCAGGAACTAGCGCCCGATATTCCTATAGACAGGATGGAATTTAACAGGATTCACAGGGCCCTAACGAGACGCACACCTGACTGTCCACCGAGGGACATTATCGTGCGTCTCCACTTCTACCGCACCAAAAGAACACCTGCTCCGAGCGGCTAGGGAAGCTGGCACCCTGCATTTCCAAGGTTACTCATACCAAGTCTATACAGATCTTTCACCAGCCACTATTGCACGTCGGCGGGAATTTAAACCACTGCTGCAAGTCCTGCAGGCCAAGAAGATTCAATACTGCTGGGGCTTTCCCTTTAAGCTACAATTCTTCTACGATGGCAAATCTTACACCTTTCTCACCGTGGACGAGATGAAGGAATGCCTTGACTCTTTGCATCTGTTGGGTCGCACGGATGTGGCCCCTGACGAGGATGATGAGCCTAAGATGCCTCGACTATCCCCTGGCAGAGACCGCCCGCCGTGCCCTAACTTGGCTCCTTCGGCCTCTCCGAAAGCACCACGGATGTCACGCAATTTCCCCTCCGCCACAGGATCATTCGTATGATGCTGCACCCGGGTTTTTGTCTTTGTTTTTCCTTCTTTCCCCACCTCGTTTAGGGGAAATACGGTTCACCCTGAGAACTGCTGCTCAGCTGAGTTTTAACAAAGTGACAGTTGCCACGGTTGGCGGTTCATGATTCTGACAAGACCAGCACTTACTCTGAAGATTTTAGAACTGTTCGGGTTCTCATTACGGTTTATTTTCTTTTTTAGTTTTTTATTGCCTTATGTAACAGGTTAAAGGGTACACACTTACCACGAGTAGTTTAGCCTTACTGTTTCTAGTGTCAGCCATGTCACTCATATGTACCTACTACAACCCTTAGGGACATGCACGAAGATCACATTATGACGATATTTTCCGGTTTATTCCGATTGTTCAATTCATGATTAGGAGGTCAGCCTCCCGTTCTGGTGTTCCCCATGCGCTCCACACTTCACTACCTCGACCCAGGTAATTGGCCTGGTTTCGGTGGGGTGAACGAGTTACTACTCACAGGTTCAGAGTCTAAACCCCTATACTACTACTGCAATCTACTGAGATTCCCCATATCCCCTCCCCCCTCCCCCCCCCCCCTGCTTTCCCATCTGTTTGTGTCTTCGTCTTCCCGCTCGTCCTTCCCCGTCTTCGCTTCTCCCTTTCGCTACCTCCGGCCCCTATACTATAAAAAACATGTCACTTAAGATAGTGTCTCTCAACGTTCAGGGACTTAACCATCCCAACAAACGGGTCAAAGCCTTTAGACACTTTGCAAAAATTAGAGCTGATGTGATCTGTCTCCAAGAGACCCACTTCAGTCAGTCGTTCAACCTGTCCTACTTGCATTCTAATTATCCTCTGTTTTTTTCAGCTTCCGCAACAACAAAACACAGAGGAGTCCTAATAGCGTTTGGTCGCTCCACTCCCTTCATATGTCAGAAAGAGATCAAGGATCCAGAGGGAAGGTACCTAATACTGGTAGGCTCGATCCATGAATACACGGTTACGATGGTATCTTATTATGCCCCGAATACAAGTCAACTTGGATTTATCACTCACCTACTCCAGGTTCTAGAACTCCATGCTAAGGGGACTTTGTTCATGTGTGGGGACTCCAACCTATTGCTACACCCTCATGTTGATCGACATGATCCCAACCACCCGGCAGCCCCCTCTACAGACATATCTGCGGCCAAGCACTTCAGGACCTTGCTGACCCAATACCACCTAGTTGACTCCTGGAGAGAAATTCACCCCCTTAAAGAACAATATACGTTTTACTCTAACCCCCACAATGTCTTTTCACGCATTGACCACATTCTATTACGCCCAGACGCCCTTACACAGGTATCCTCAGCAGAAATCACTCCAATCCCCTGGTCAGATCACGATTCAGTTAGTATTATTATCGCTTTAACTATCCCCCGACCACACAGCTTCTTTTGGTCTCTGCGAGAATCCTAACTTACCAACCCTGATATTCTAGCTTCGACCCAGGCCTCCCTGACTGAATACTTCCAGTTAAACACTGACGAGGTCTCTTCACCGATAACAGTGTGGGAGGCTCATAAACCCACTATTAGAGGTCGGCTGATCCAGCTTGCATCCCAAGCCAAAAAGAAACGGACATCTCGCATTGACCAATTGGAATCCGAACTACTAGTGGCATCCCAAAATTTTCAACAGAGACCCACTCCTGAACACAGATCTCGTTTGTTCCATATAAGAACAGAACTTAATCTTTGCCTAACACATCTCTCAAACGATAAATTGGCCTGGACCAAACGTAGGTTTTATATCAAAGGAGACAACCCTGACACAATGCTTGCCCATAGACTTCGGGATGCTAATCCCAGAAAAAAACCCTATCCAACTACGTCTGGGGGGGACCCCTATTACTTCCTATCCCATCAAAATATTAAAAGCTTTTCAATCCCACTTACAAAATCTTTACCGTGCCACAGGCAACCTAGATAAATCTAAATTAGACACATTTTTCGCCACTTTAAACCTTCCCACCCTCTCCGAGGAACATGTACAGCTGATTGACTCCCCCATTACAATAACTGAGATTACTGCCACAATTAAACACCTTAGCACTGGGAAACGCCCTGGGCCGGATGGCCTTGGCGCTGCCGGCTACAAAAACACCCTGGATAAATCTAAAATACACATTTTTCGCCACTTTAAACCTTCCCACCCTCTCCGAGGAACACGTACAGCTGATTGACTCCCCCATTACCATAGCTGAGATTACTGCCACAATAAACACCTTAGCGGATGGCCTTGGCGCCGCCTACTACAAAAAGTTCGCTGACACCCTAGCAACACCCATGGCGGAGTGTTGTAAGGCTTTACGCACGGGGAGTGAACTGCGAAAAGAATCGCTTCTATCCTCCATATGTATGATACCCAAACCAGACACTGATCACACGTCCTGCACCAATTACCGCCCAATCTCACTAATCAATGCAGACCTGAAAATACTTACCAAAATCCTGACCCTTCGCCTCAGATCTCCTCTTTTGGGTCTGATATCCAAGGATCAAGTGGGCTTTATGCTGGGTCGTCAGGCGGGTGACAGTGTCTGCAGGATATCCCACTTACTCCATATATCACATCAAAGAAATATTCCCACTATGCTCCTGGCGTTAGACATTAGTAAAGCATTTGACTCAGTGAGTTGGGAATATCTGAATTATACACTTACCAGATGGGGTTTTGGAAACTACTTTATGAGATGGATAGGGGCGTTATATTCCAAACCGACATCCTACATACAATATCAGGGATTCCACTCCAAATCTTTTGAAATTACTAGAGGGACAAGACAGGGGTGCCCTCTCTCCCCCCTCCATTTTGCTCTGGCCATAGAGCCCCTGGCACAGGCAATAAGGCAACATAATGACATTAAAGGTCTGGAAGTCGCAGGGTACCATCATAAAATTAGCTTATTTGCAGATGATGCATTATTGATTCTTACGGAACCACTGATCTCACTCCCTAATCTCCAACCACTACTAAAGCTTTTCGGTAACCTCTCGGGTCTCTGCGTGAACATGAATAAATCTAAAGCACTAGATGTCTCCCTTCCCCCTTCGGTACTCACCTCCTTGCAAAGGTCATTCCCATACCAATGGTCCCACTCTGAACTACCATACTTGGGGATCCACCTTACTCCAACTTTTGCCATGATGTACCAAGCTAATTACCCCAAACTATTTTCTTACATGGAAACCCTACTGACATCATGGGAGAAACATCCAATATGGTGGCTTGGTAGAATCACAGCAGTTCAGATGACCCTGCTCCCCAAATTCTTATACCATGCAAGGGTCCTACCAGTTCCTATCCCCTCTTATCGCCTTAGACAATTACAGCGCCGCATACTTAGTTTCATATGGAAGGGGTCAATTCCTAGGGTCTCCCAATTGGTTCTGTATCGGAGCAAGGTGAGAGGGGGCTTGGGACTCCCCTCTTTCCACAAATACTATCAGGCAGCCCAACTGACCCCTTTGGTGTGCTGGTATGGGAAAGGCGAAATGCCACTGTGGTCTCATTAGAGGCCTATGCTTGTTCCCCAATTTCTCTCCTCAATCTTCCCTGGCTTCCCCCCAATATAGGCAGAGCATTAAAGAACCCAATTCTCACGCACACCCTAAAAGTCTGGGAAGGACTACACCGTCACTTAAACTGGGTCTCCCCTCAACTACCTCTGCTGTCCATTCATGGTAACCCAATGTTTCAACTGGGATACACCAACCCAGTAGCCTTCGCACATTGGCGTGTCAAGTCCCTAAGTTTCCTTAGAGATTTCTGTTCAGACACTGACATCATCCCATATCCGGTGCTTCAAGCCAAACACCAATTGACCCCACAAGACATCTTGTGTCAAATCAAACACTACATACAAACTCTTTTGGATAAGTCAAATTCCCTTCCCTCCCTCACCTCATTTGAGGAGTTCCTACTCAATGACACAAAAAGCAGAGGGCCCATTTCAGTTTTATATACTATGATTCTTGAGCACCTACAGACTCCTCTCCCCACGTATGCCTCCAAATGGAAACAGGATCTGGGGTGCTCTATCCCTGCTGAAACATGGTCTCAAATTTGGATGACAACCTCTCGGAGCTCAGCAAATGTCCAGGCAATTGAAGCCAACTATAAGCTACTCCTCCGGTGGTATCTGGTACCCCTCAGGATTTCCAGAGCCATCCCGTCCTACTCACCAAACTGTTTCAGGGGCTGGAGGGGTCGGTTCATCACATTTGGTGGGACTGCCCTAAAGTGAAGAGATTTTGGCATAGAGTATACCAACTTCTGTACACTGTCACAGGCAAAACATTCCGCAAGGACCCCTTGGAAGCCCTATTACATAAGAAACCGTCGGTATGCACTGTTGGGCAGCACCGTTTGGTCACATTGATACTCACTGAAGCCAAGAGGGTAATTGCAAAGGCTTGGAAGTCCCCAGACATACCATTTGCGGAGGTCAAACGTAGAGTATCGAGAGTGATGTTCTTTGAAAAACTTACTGCTCTTCAAAGGGATACTTTGGTATAGTTTCGTAAGCTGTGGGAGCCATGGATTGAGTCATACCATCCTCCCTCCTTAAATGTGCGGCCTTGCGGTGCCTGCAGTGTCTGTAGCGGCTCTGCCAGGCTGCACAGACCTGACTGTCACAGCCACTCCGTCCCCGCACAGCCGCCCGAACATGCAGCGGTCCTACCACTGCGGACATGTGTATGCATCCCTAATATATATATATATTAGGGATGCACCCATACCGAGTACAGTACTCGGTACAAGTATATGTACAGATACTTTTCGAGCTCCGAAACTAGACTAGAGAAAAATTCAAAAGTTAGGAGACAGCTGTCATTTGCAAGGAGCATATGGAGCTCCTGGGATTTGTATATCTCTGTTTTAATGTATGATTTTGTTTTTATAAATATATATAAGTGATGCACAAATACCAGTTTTGCGAGTACAAGTACTGATACTTGCCCAAGTACTTACAAGTACTGATACATTTTTGTTTATTGTCATGTGACAGTTTTTCTAAAACAATATCGACTAATGATTTCAAGACAGAGGTGGAGCGCCAGAGCCAGGCCCCAGCTGCAACCCTGGTAGTTCTCATGAAAATGCAGAGTATTGGCATTGGTACTCGAAAAGTATCGCTGCATCCCTAATATATATATACACATACGATACAATGCATGGGACTGATAGAAAATATCAGTAGCTAAAACATTGCATTATATAATACATGTTGATTTTCTTGTCTTCCTAAATAGCAAAATCTGATGTGAAAGAACCGAAGGCCAAAACTGCATCACCCAAAGTGTCAAAAAAACAGAGATCATTTAAACAAGAGGCTCAAGACACAGACAAAGAAAATAGACTTTTCATGAAAGGTTGGGATGTCAGATTTTCTGTAGAAACACATTTGTATCTTGTTCCCTGGGAGCTCCCTAATGAGATTTTCTTACAGGTGATGGTGATGGTGATGGCTCAGGCATAGCACAAGATCTAATACAAGATTTGAAGGCAGACAAGGTGGTTGTAGCTGAGAACTCCAGTGATGAGGAGAATTCAGTGTCTGTAGGGGACAGAACAGTCCCTCCAGCACCAGTCAAACAGCGTAATAAGAAAAAGCCGGAAAAAACAGGTAAATGGAGTAAAAATGAAGAGTGCTGTAATTATCCATCTAGTCTCGGGTTGTGGTAAAAGTATTTCTTGCCACTTTTCTAACAATCTCTAAATGTAGCACTAAACTCAGAAGTTAAATCTTAAAAATGCACTCAACTACCCTAACTAATAACAAAAATGGACCTTATTCAACTTTAGTTCCTTAAATCATCTCTGAATTCATGCGGACACTGTCCTTCCTTCTGGAGGGTGGCTACTTTTGTTCCCCATTATCCCTGTGCATGTTGTAAAATAGCCACGGCTCCAAGCTCGCTCCGGGGATGGACTACAATCTCATGTTTAGTTTACTAATTTGGATGCAAAGTGGAAGTGGAACTCCAGGAATCTAAAAAGTTAACCCTTGCAGGGGGGAGCTACCCCCCCTGCATCGGTTAACTGCTTGTTTGTCTCTAGGGCTCATATCAAAGAAATATGCTCACATGAACCTCGATCCTGCCTGGCAGCTTGAATGGCCCCTGCAGCCTCTTCTTCTCTGGGCTCCGGCGGTCTAAGCCCTGCTGATCATCTGCATTAGACATGAGGACAACGAGGGACATACCACAGCTGGAGCGGATGGGAAGAGAGGTGAGCACTCACTGCCGCAGGACCGAGGATCAGGTGAGCATATCTTTATTCTAGCCCCTAGAGAAAAACGAGGGTTACGTTTTGCATGCCTAGAGTTCTTCTTTAATAAAATGTAGAGGATAATTCATTGGTCAGCTTATGTCTGGCATGACAGCTGTTCTTTTATTACTTCTGCTGATTACTTGCCTTTGATTTCTCAGACACCCTTAATAAACTACCGGGCTATAAGTAGGACTTAACCCTTAAGCTTTTGGACCATCTCTAGCCATCTGATTAAGGGACCCAAAATGGAGCAGGCCTTTAGGACATCACTATGTTTGGGGGATAGTGCAGCAGCTAAACAGTGCTTTAGTACCTTGCCGTGGCGAGGCGACCGTTGTCAGCGCCTGGGGCATGCCTGCCAAGTGCATACGGAAGCTCCGGCCCCTCCCTGCTCTCCATCCTGATAGCTGCTCTCGACATCCTGACACTAATCTCTCCTCCCCGCTGGGTGTTGGATCGGCTCTGTGTCCCCTCTGATCCCTGCTGCTTCTGCCAATACAGGTGGGGAAAAGCAGCGGGGATCAGAGGGGACATAGACATGCAGCTGGCCCTGAGCAGGGAGATAACTTCCAACCCAGCTCAGGCCCCCTTGCTGGCTTGATTGGGCCCAGAACAGGAGGACCGGCTGCCCGGGGCGCTTCTACATATTTGGAGGTTTATATATAATCATGTTTATTAAATGAAAAGGATTACAATGTCTGTGCTTTGCAGCCATTCTACAGCTGAGTTCAGGATCATTTTCTGTGTAATATGGCATTGTTACTTCCATTGAATATGGCATCAACTTAAAGTGACATTAAAGTCAAAAAAATGTTTCCCTCCCCCCAATGTTAATGTTAGCACTTACCTTAAATGATGTCTCTTAATCAGATCTTCTTCTTTCCTGATGTTTTCATCTGTCCCTCCAGAGGTGCAACGGCTCTCCGATCCAGTGCTGACTCCTCTGTCCCTGCATGCACTTCCGATCCTGCGGTGTCTGCATGCGGGTGCCCGCATCCATAGACTTACCTTGTGTCTCTGCTCATCTCCCGGCCGAAAATCCGAACTGTGCATGCGCCCGCCCCAAGATGTTTTGCGGCCGCCCGAGCAGTTTTGGATTCTCGGGCGGGAGCGCGCGGCGATAACGGGGTAAGTTTAAACCGCTGTAAAAGCGTTTAAAAAAAAACTTTTTGCCTATATCTACTGCTAAGCACCCTCCCCTCCCATTCCTTCTTATTTTGTTGGTATTTTGCAGCAGCAAGAAATAATTCTATATTGAAAGTATTGTTTCTTTTCTCTGTTATATAGTGAGATCCAAAAAAAGAAATCCCTCTTATGAAACAGCAGATGCAGAGGGTCTAGAAGATGATTTTGATGAAGATTTAGATATTCTCAGTAGTGTTGTATATACAAGGCCATTGTCTGCCTCTAGTAAGGTGAGTTATCACATTTATTATTACAGTTGCTGTTACCCCTGAGCGATATTTTTGTTATGGCAGAGCCTAGTGGGGTAAGTGAGGTTAAGTCTTATATATTTGGGATACGCCAACAGTGCGATCTCCTTGCCATAATTCCCAAGTCTGTTCCTGTCCACAATGAAGTTTTGGGAGTTCCAGATCTCCTTTGTGTGATCAAGCACCTTTTAAAGAAGCCCATAAGGCAGGTAAAGCCCCATTTATTCTGAGCACAGCCTTGCAAAAATTGAGGAACGTTGCAGAAGCAGCCTGGCCACTTTGTCAGCCTTAAGCAGAGACATTGTAATGCATTAAATCTATCCGCAATTAACTGCCAACCTTTACCCTTAACCTAACCCTTAGAGCTGAACTCCAGGCAGATAATTAAAGGTTGCAACTTATTCCAGTTATTCCTTTGATTATAACTACTTAAAGTACCTGGGTCAATCTTATTTTATATTTCAGTAATCCCCAGCATAGCATCTCTTATACTGGGAGCTTGCTGACAGGAAGAGCGAACTGAGTAAAAGGATTGACAACTTCACCAGTGTGGTGATCCTTCTACTATGGGTTTAATTTAGCATGCTCAAGGCAGGTTTGTGACCAAGCTGCATCAATAAAAGTGAGGTCACTGCTCATGCTTTGCTGTCTGACAGGGGTGTATTGATCACAAGACTGGCTAAACAGGATTATAACTTTTTTGTCAGGTATAACATTTCAAGTACATATGTATTAGTTTTGTTAAAGTGGCATTAAACCCTCCCTTTTTCCCCCATTCTAATGCTTCTGTAAGGACTGACCTTAAGTGATGCCTCTTGATCCGATCATCTTCTTCCTTCCAGTAGTTTTCAGCAGTCCCTCCAGCGCTGGTGCCGGTCTCTGATCCAGCGCTGACTGCTGTGTCTTCCTGTCCCATGAAATCTGTCCAACGTGCACGCTCTCGGCTGAGTGCATTCACTTAAAGCGTGTCTCTCCTCTTCTCCCTGCCGGTGATCTCCACTGCGCATGCATCTGCACACATCCTCATGCACGGCCGTTCGAGAAGCCGATTTTTACAGCCAGGAGAGAGTGGCGGAGCGGCGGAGGTAAGTATTTGCCTATTTGGTAACTTTAAAAAAAATGTTTTCAATGTTTTTGCATATATCTACTGCTTGCTAACAGAAGATATATGGAAAAAGAGAATAAGACTTTATTACCACTTTATTGGTCTGCTTTAACCTAGTCCCTAAAAGGTTACCTCCTAAGACTTAACACACAATCCTATTTCTACCCCAATGTCAAAAACTTTAATCCAATCCTTAAAATAAAGTGCAAATAAGTTGTTTTGCTGTGCATAAGCAAAGCACATGTTAAATTTAAACACTATGCTGTTTGTATGAAAATGATGGGCCACTTTCTTAATTATTCCATTTGTAAACATACAGAGGCAAATCTCTGAAAAATTAGAGCCTACAATATTTGTCATTATCAATAAACCAGAAACCCACAGGAACTTAATTTTACTTTGCTTTAGAAAATACCAGTATTTTCAAAACACCAGCATGAGGTGTGTCAATATTCAGGCTAGGTTCACACCTAAGCGACTGAGCTGGTGAGCTGTTTTCGTGCGGTTGTGTTTTTGCTTTGAAAACAGCGCTGTTTTCAATGCATAGAGATGTCTATGGGACCCAAATCGCACGACATCCGCCTGAAAATCGCTCATGTACCTTTTTTTGCGACAGGCGATTTCTACAAAATCGCAAAGGTTTGAACAGCTTCCATAGACTTGAATGCAAATCTCTATTTTGTGCTATATTGCGCGGCTAAATCCATGCGATAAATCACCTAGGTGTGAACCTAGCCTCAAGGAATATTGTTCAAAATTCTCTGTGCAATATCATCTTTTTCCTTCATTTGATGACGGTGCTTCTTTACAATATCACTGTATAATTCAACAGGAAGAAGATTCCCAGATAGCCCCTCCTTTAGAAATCGATGATCTTGAGGGCTTTGCACTCCGTCCGGCTCCACACAACATGACTCTCCAGTGCCGTATTACCAGAGACAAGAAAGGAGTTGATAAAGGCATCTACCCTACTTATTATTTGCATCTAGAGAGGGATGATGGCAAACGGGTAACTAAAGAAATGTTATGCTCCTGCTAAAACTACACTCGGCTTCTAAATTTCAGTCATTGCCATTTTTATGACGGGTTCTTCTCTAAATAGAAAGTATAATTGCTTTTCATTAATTTCATTTTAATTGTTTGAGAGTTTACTAGTTTATAGGTAGTTTTATTTACATAATTTGTTTAATTTACGGTATCATATATTTATTTTACAAATAAACATTTAACACAATGGGCATCCATAACTCTCAGTTTGCAAAGCATGATGTACTTTCTAATAAGAAAGCACACCACTGCCTTAAAGGCTGTTTACTTCTTGGATCATGTTTCACGTTACACGGCCACGTCGTCCATTCACAGATCCTTCGATAGAATCTGAATGGAGAGACTACAAGTCCTGCCTGGCACTGCAGCAGAGGGACTTGTGATTCTCAATGGAGTACAAGCACAGTAACACCCCACTTTTGTAGTCAATTCATACTTTTTCCCATCCCTTAGCTGAAATTCCTCAGTATGGACAGGGGTGGGAGAAAAAGTCTATAGGAGCCAGAGCATTGTACCCGCGAATACAAAAAAAAAAATAATAATAAATGCTATTTTTTTTCTTTTAATAGTGTGCGTGCATTTATTTATTTTTTTATTTGCAAAAGCTGAACTATACTTTTGAATACTTGTAGAAATCCTCTGCAAACAGATTTAGGAACTATGTCAATAGGCTTTGAGCTTTTGTCAATATGGCAACATTTCTAAGATCATTCAGAATTCAATGACCTGGGCGCATTTGACCTGCAGTTGGCCTCCTTGTGATCTGCTTTTGACCTGCTTCAAGCAGGGTTTGCATTCCCATATGGTTGGAAAGAATGTAAAACCTGCACAATACAGGTGGCTCTAATGCGGATGAGAGTAGAGGGAGGGGAATGTCTCTCCTCTGAATCATTGGGCGATGTATTATTTCACCTCTTTTTCTATTCCTGAATATTTACAACTTACAATACGCTGGGAAGCCACAATGTAGTGTATCTGGAGCTCTTAGTAAGCTGTTGGTATTGCCTACCGTTACTGACTAATAGAGGTAAGTATGAAATATTCTTATGCAATATTATATATTTACCTTATTGAAAAGAAAAACTGCTTTTCTCTCCCGTTCTTTGAAGGACACAGGGAACAGATCGGAGATCCTGTACTGTAGGGTAATATCGCCACCTGCAGGAGAAGAAAAAAATACTTTTTAGTCAACAGATCATAAAAATCAGATCTTCGTAGAGGTGGTGCACCTAGCAGAGGGTGTTGCTTTGGGCACCAAAGGTTATGTGTCTACAAGCTCCATTGATGGAAATCCGGTCCTGAGTGCATACATAAATACGCACATACCCAGCAGTACCAGAAGTCGGAAAACACACAAGGGAATACTTGGGACAATAACCCACTTTGTAAAGCGGAAATAATTTATCGTAGTTGAGAAACACTAATTTAGGCCAGCCTTCAAGCTTCACTAGCAATTAGGCTGGATGGAATTGTTGATACAAAGTTCTTTTCATCTCTTTTGAGAATTCAAAAATTAACCCAGCCCTCTCCATTAGTGTCTCACAAGCAACATATACCGAACATATACCAAATAGGGACATGCATATTGGATAAATGTAGGGCAGTTCTTTTGTCCATTCCGGTGCATTAGCAGCCTATTCAGACTAATGGACACAGGAACACTGTGCACCAAAACAGAAAGGTGTTAGGAGGCCTTACACTACATGTGTCAAACACAAGGCCCATGGGCCAAATCCGACCTCCCAGGCCCTTGCACCTCTCCTGCAGCTTTAAATTTTGAAACCGAAGCCAGCGCTGTAAAAAGGTTCCGGGCTTCATAGGAAGGCTGCTAAAAGTCCTTGCAGCCTTCCTGTGAACTGCAGCACCTGTTTACAGCGCTGGTAGCAAATCTCCTCCTTCCTGTGGATCCACACCACCTGCACTCGCTGAGACTGACCCCTGGTGAGTCCGCACAGCCCATTATAGAACCTGCGCAGCTACCTAAGAGTCTGCACAGCTCACCATAGAACCTTTTACATTTATATAGTCTTACAGATAGAACCGGCCCTTTGAGAGCAACCATAAGGTTGATGCGGCCCGTTTGACACCCTTGCCTTACACTATTGAATGAGATGAACAGATGAGAGAAGTACTGCAGATGCTTGTCAAGGCCTGCTTGTTCCTTCTTCATTGCTGCATAGTCTTACGAAAGTGTTATCAGTTAACGGGTCAGGATATTAGGAAACTAGACCGACTTATCTGTAATTTCAATGCAATGTATTAGGAAAACTTAAAGGCTACTGTATCAGGGGTGTAACTGTAACTAAAAGACACAATGGTACTACTCAGGGCCCAGCAGTTCAGGGAAAGAAAGACATTTTTGTGCATACTCTCTTATAGAGAATCTATTGACCCTTTACATTTATTTTAGATATGAAATTGCTTTTTAACAGCATATCCACCTAAATATTATTACATGGTTTGCTACTGCTGACCGCCATCTGAACATGGTATTTGCTTGACTGTTATGCTAATACTGGGGTTTTAATAAATTTTGATCTTGAACACGAATGCAAATCAGGAGTTCCTACTTCAATGGCTGCATGGAAAGTATTAAAGCCAGTAGATTGCCCTCTCTGGCCTGCTGAAGGTCTCCTCTGCTGGCTGAAGGTGGGCTGACAGGGAGACACATCTACACCCAGTGCGCGGTTTGTTTGTTTTAAATAACTTAATTGAAATGTCTAAGTGATGTTTCATTCATTCCTTTGCAAACTAATTTGATTCATTCCTATTGAAAAATGGACGGTGACTTCAGGTCAGCTTTGGTGTTTTGTGGATAAATGTAGCATGTCTGTATTTTCTTGCAACTTCCTGCAACCCACCTGAAGGGAATGCTGCCATGTGAAAATGATACGTAGAAAACCATTGATTTTTATGTGCTTTTGTAATGACTATCGTTGATGATCGCACATAGAGTGAACAGACCCTGAAGGTGGTGGGGGGCAGGCAGGAGATGCAGACATACTGTGGATCAAGGCAAAGGGAGTGGCAGGCAAAGCAACGTCTCCCAGGCGGTGCATGGGGACAGTAAATGCAGTCTAAGTAAACCAAAGATGCCATGTGAAAGTTTGATCACAGGGAGAACCAAGAGCGGCACTTATAGAACTATATAGAGCATGTTTGAAGGTCATAAGAAGTGTGTGGCTGCAAGGCTATCTGAAGGTGGTGCACATGAACATATTGCAGAAGGTGATTCAGCAGATTACACTGCCCTGGAGCTCCCTGAGCCATGCTCTTGTTATCATTAGTTTTTTATTCCAATATGGATTCTGCCTTAGCGAAAAGAAAGATTCAAAACAAACTTAGAGTGTTCCAGGTTAAATGAAAACTGTTGTATTTTGCTCAACAGTATCTAAAAAAATTCACTGTTTAATATTCAATTACTATGTAGCTGTACCAAATGAATACCTGTCAAAGTGCAGCCCATGGATGAAGGTACCTGTGCAGCCTGTCTTTGAACTTGAGTTGGACACAGAGGCGTAACTAGAACCTTCAGGGCCCCGATGCAAGAAACCATGAAGGGCCCCCCAACCGCCATGGCACCGCATGATTAACAGGAAGGCTGCCGAGGTCCCCAGCAAGCGCGGGGCCTCAGGCAGCCGCTTGTTTAAAATTTTAGTGCTGGTGTTCTGTCAAGAACGCCGACCCAGTATCTGCACTTACGTACAGACGGGATTAATGAGGAAACCGGCATTTATTTACAAAGTATTCGTTTGTAATGGTTAATTGTGACCGTTAATAATATACCATCTATGGCAGTGAATGACATATGGAATATTATTAACAGTCACAATTAACGATTTAAACGAAATACTTTGTAAATAAATCAGTTTCCTCGATAATACTGGTCTGTGCGCAAGCGCACGTTTAGTATCGGGGCATTTTCACGAGTATGAGTACTCGTGAAAATGCCCAGTATTAACACTGGGGTATCCCTACTTAAAAATATAATGTATTGCTGGGACTTGTAGTCCTACATAGTTGGAGCTATTTTGCATTGCTGTATAATTATTATACAGCAAAGCAGAATACCACCAGCAATGCGGGACTACAAGTCCCAGCAATACATTATAATAAAAATAAGCACTACACACACACACTTCCCCGCATGTGCGTGTTTATATATGTATATATACACACATTTTTTTTTCTTACTACATGCATACAAATGTACATACTTACAAATCACATCAAACATTGCTTTGAGGTAAATATTTACAATAATAACCCAAAATGTGTACTTGTACACAGTTAATATTTTACTGTTAGTGGCGGCTGAACGTTTCCAAGTGCATCACCATTTTTTGTGATTGCCACTATTCTGTGAATGTCTGCCTGTTTTTGCACATTTGTTGCAAGTGTTAGGAACTAGATAAGAGTGAATAAAGAGGAAACAGACTTTTTAGGTACCCAAACACAAGTCTTTGTATATGTGTGTATATGTGTACAAACCTATTCTCATATGAATATATAATACAATTTTGGATGTGAACTCCGCTTGTCCACTATAAATATTCATGGGGCAGGAATACAGCGGAGAAAGGACCCAGACTCCCGAATCCCACAATATTCACCCGAGGTTCTATAATAATATATAATGACATTGCATATTCAACCTGATAACCTTAGGAAGTTATTGTATGGTAAATATTTAATTTACCTTTACAATGGCTGATTGAAGAGGTGGCTATCTCATTTAAGTCATTCAGATCATCATATAAGCGGTTATATGTATTGCAGAGAGAGCTATAGGTACAAACATTTTAAAAGATTATATATTTATATCAGAGATTTTACCACATTATACAAACTCTCCTTATGTCACACCTACCAAACAAAATGCTCATAGATCGGTTCACGTTTCTTCCTCCAATCATATAGATATCCACCAAAACTGTTGGGAATAGGGTGTGATGACCACTTTTTAAACAGGCTCAGTTGTCTAAAAATGACTTCTTAAATGTTTTTCTGATTTCTTTTTTATCTTTAGGTTGTTTGCAATAAGTTGTTAAAATTGTGGCAAATCTGCCACACTTTCACATAATGTCACAAAGCTGGGGGCGCAAAAAGATGCAATACATTAATTAAAATTGAAACGCCACATTTTAATAAATCTGTCACATTGAAACAACAGATTTGCAAACTGTGTCACATTAGTGAATACAAGGACTTTGACTTTGATAAATGCCCTAATAAGGAAAAACAACCTCTGCTCATGATGAACGGTTTTGAAAGTTTATTTAGAAGATTTACAAAGCAAAAGTAAAGAATAAATAAAATAAAATAAAGTAAAGATTAGGAAAGGAAAATAGCAGGGATCCTGGCGGTCTGGCATTTGATTGCCATAAACTAGTCTCTTCACACAAGCTTTTAAAGACATTTGTCATGCAGGACCTTCCACGAACCACACACATAACATTGACAAGAATTACAAGAGACATTAATTTTTGTTGTTATGGAACACTTCATCAGCTGAACCTGAAATGCCTCGCTGTAAACCACTGAAATGCTTCGCTGTAACCACTGAAATAACCTGAAATGCCTCGCTGTAAACCAAATGACTTCCAATAACATCTCTAAGTAAAAGACATTGTAGCAAGCCGACTTGTTGTTATGATAACATTAATATATAAGCCTTTAATATTGTCATTTAACCTTTATTAAAACATATAATAATTTTCTTTATCAGCCCCTATTGTAGTTTCAGCTGAATGGCTGGTGGGATTACAGGATAAACTTGTTTAGACAGAGCACTCTGCGACATGTCTATATTGTACAGTATGCAATAAAAGTACAATAGATTACATTTAATCTGGCCATGTATGAACAGGTAGCAATACTCTGCCGTTTTCCAACATGGCAGCAGGCATACCAATCTGTAACAGATCTGATAAGAGGTCTGGGCAATATGTTTTTTTTTGCGGGAGGCTGTGTTGTATCCATCGCACACCTTACAGGCTTGTCAACAGTCCATGCGGTGTGCTGTGATGAATTGGTGGTTGGCGCCACCAAAAAATCATAAGGAAAAATGAATCTTCACAAGCACACTTTGGTATAGTGATAATCTTTATTTAGATAAGGCAAAAGGCGCCATAAGCTGACTTTTTGGGACCTTGCAGGATCCCTTATCCACTCTGAGAAAGGAAACCTGCAAGGTCCTGTAATGTCGATATGTGCTACCTGTTGCTTCATGTGAATAAAGGACATTATTATTACTAATCCAAAGTGTGCTGGTGAAAATTCTTATTGCAGGAGGCTAATGCTCATATTGTACAGGGGATAATAGAAGTACAAGAAAGGCAGACACACACTGAGGTGGCCTATGCACTTATTACAGTGCAAAGATCTGTATGTCTCAAAAGTCATTGCAGCCTGTAAATGTGTCAGTTATCTGCTAAGTATAATGTCAAATCAGCAACAATATCTTTAAAGTTTCACTTACGTTTTTCTATGGTGACCCTTAATCCCATCAAAACCTGCCTCTGCCCCCAGCTTCCAAAAACACTCTGACAAGGTGTTCCATGATCCTTTTGGAGGAGACATCTGTATGAAACACAAGTCACCCCAACTGACTCCTCATCATTATTATTACTGTTATATGTCCTAATTTTTCAATACACTCTGAGACAGCTGATTAAAAAAAATCTTAATTTTATGTTTTAACAGCTTTTCCTTATGGCTGGAAGAAAGAGAAAGAAAAGTAAGACCTCTAATTACCTGATCTCAGTGGATCCTACAGACCTATCACGGGGTGGAGAGAGTTTTATTGGTAAAGTCAGGTAAGTTCAGGGCAGACAGGCTGCAGACTGGATACAAATACATGTCCTCAACCCAAGTTTTAGATTTTGTTTCCCTGGAACACATTTTCATGACTAGGCTGCTTTAAAACAATAAAACAAAATAAGACCAGCTTGCTGTTAAATTATTTGATTAGATTATATATGAACTCATAGTTACATAGTTACATAGTATTTGAGGTTGAATAAAGACATTAGTCCATCAAGTCCAACCTATTAGGATCTCATTCTAGGAGTACCTGTACCCCTGTATATTACGGTCCCTTAAGAAATCGTCCAAAAGTTTCTTGAACAATTCCACATTCTTTGCTGAAATCACCGCCTGTGGCAGTGAGTTCCAGACCCTAACTACTCAGTACTCAGGTACTAAACTCAGGTACTAAAAGGAAGCAGCTAAAGAATAAAGCAAATAAATACAATATTAGATTAACCTTAGTATACAGTAATGTATTCACAGTTTAAATAACCCTTCCCTCTTAGTACACTGAACTGTAATTAGCAGTCACTTATACCTCTAATGTGGGATAAAATAGAGTTAAAGTAAAATTCCTGACAAAACTTTTTTAATTTCTTTATGGAGTGGGGAAATGTCAGAATACACAACAGGAAGTTAGTAGAGATATCCTCAAATTGAGGGAAACCCCAGCTTTGACAGTTGTCACTTGAATAGGTGTCGCCATTGAAAGGTTTACAATCTACTAATCTAATGGTGACAACTGTAATGGATTTCCCCTCACTTTCAGGAGAGATAGAGACGGTACAAAGACAGATAATAAAAGCCTTACAGGGAACTTATCACTTCTCCATCTCTACCCAATAATAGAAAGAAGTTGGACTGAAGCTCTACTTTAAATCCCTGTTCACGCCAGGGCATATCATGAACCCGCGTCACACGTGCACGTTCATGATATGTGCACAAACGTGGAATGCTCTTGTGTTGCCATTATTAGGTAGTGGCACCCCAAACGTGGCTGAGCAAACAAGGTTTTTCCTGCGCATTCGCGCACAAACTCGCAGGTGGAAACGTGTAACGTGCTTCAACAAATTTTCGATGTACTGCTTTTACGTGTTTGGCACACTTTCAGGGACCCAATGGGGATCAATGGGGATGCACAAAACGTGGGAAACAAAGTCCCGCAAACATGCGGGAACTCACGTCCTGCTCCATATGTTCCCACATCGCCCTGGTGTGAACGGGGCCTAAGATGCATTCCCCCAAAAATATACATGAAACACTTGTGATGACTTTTTATATTACTCTTTAGTTTTACAAACGAACTAGTGTTTATCAAATAATGAAAGTTAAAAAGAAAAAGGTGGCCGTGTCCGTTTAATGTTTAAGAGTATAACAGCAAGGACCTTTCACATACAAGTGTTAAAGCCTTGTGCAGTCTCATTTAGTGTATATGGTAAAAAGCTACATAACAGTCTCACTAGAAGAGTGAAAAGAGATTTCAGAATATGGTATCAACAGCATTAACATATAGATCAATGTCATTCCAGATCAAACATGCTGGGCACCAGATTCACAGTTTTTGACAACGGAGTGAACCCTGACACAAAGCCGTTTGTGCAAGAGAGGGAATCATTCAGACAAGAACTGACATCAATATGTTATGTAAGTTATAAACCTCCTGAATTATTCAGTTACAAGCGTTAGTATAACATCAATATAGATAAATGTGCTATGTAACAAACTCTTCTTTATTCTGTCAAGAAATATCTTATAGGAATGAAGATAACTGAAAGTTTCCACAAGGGATGGATTAATACTTTCTACCACCCTAGTTCAACTGTTTTGTGTCTCCCGTTTTCTGCCACAGTCACGTAGCTAGCTACATTATTAAACTAAAAATCTGTTTGTGGCCTTGATAAAGCATCAGTATGATGACTCTGTGTCAGTGCATGAAAAGAAGAGTAGGGTAAACTGTCTCCTTACTGTGCTAGTAGTTTAGTGTTAGGCGTATGGGTCCAGTCGGTAAACTATAATCACACAGTGCACTATTCCACCAACATCCAAAGTTTGCAGGGACAGAAACAGTGAGGACCCAGCCACATCAATCCAATAGACAGGATGCTCGTAATTTCAAGCATCTTGAAAGGGTAATAGTCTTTCTTTAGATTCTTTTCATTTGTGTTTGTGTCTAAATGTCTTTCTCCTCTGTACAAGAAACCCTAAGGGGTCTCTTTATAAACAATACACAGAGCCATTCAACCTGCGAATATCTGTGAAAATTTGTTTTCTACGAACAATGGCAAAGTGAACATTCTTAATTCATTCTCTGTTTAGGTCAAATGTACTGTAATATAATACTGCATGTGATGGGGGATGTGGGAGACACAGAACAAACACAGAGACCAAGAGTGTTTTTTAGGACCCTTGACCAAAGGGTTCTTTATTAGGGCTTCTCAACTTTAGGATATGGCAATTGTAGGAGCAATCTGGGCAAAATCAACGGCTAAAACAGCAAGCGATAGCAAGGGTAAAGTCCTGGGGCACAGGACAGCAATCCAGGCAGAGTCCAGGGTAGAGGGCAGGAATCCAGGTGGAGTCCAGGGACACAGGCAGCAGTCCAGGCACAGCAAAGGGGTAACAGCAGCAGGGCACAGTACCGTTGGAGTCCAGGGACACAGGGCAGCAGTCCAGGCACAGCAAAGGGGTAACAGCAGCAGGGCACAGTACAGTTGGACTCCAGGGACACAGGCAGCAGTCCAGGCACAGCAAAGGGGTAACAGCAGCAGGGCACAGCAAAAGAGGGTCACGACTCACACTTAAGGCATCAGGTCACTCCGCAGAAGGGGGATCCACATGTGATGGTAAGGCAGGAGGCTTTCTGTAGAGCTGGTCTGTGGAGCCTCTTCAGTGTTCGAGCAGGACAACAGTGCACAGCTAGTAAGGCACTGCAAGTCCCAGTAGTCCCTAATCAGGCAACACACATTCAGAGCTAGATGTCCCAGCAGTCCTCATCTTCTTCTACTCTCTTTCCAATGAGAACCTCCAGCCATGAGTATCTCATGTCTAACTCTGAAGTAAAAAGAAGCTCTGGCTACTCTAAGCACAAGGCTGTTATATTGTACCTGGAGTCTTAGCATTCTTCTACCAGAGACCAAATGGCCGGTGACAAAAGTCTAACTTTGTCCTGGTTTAGGATACAACATATCCTGTGCTTCATGTTGAGAGGAGCCTTATCTCCAGACCCCCCTGTGTGAAGGACTGCATGGGTAAATTATGTAGATCAGCTGACTAATTAACATGAGGCCTTTTGAACATTGGTTCTTAGAGGTTGTTAATTTCCAAACACATCTAATATTTCAAAGCTAATATTTCTGATCACGTTACACTGCATTATGGCCAATAGAGGGAGATGAAAAGCATAGGAAATAAATATTTATTTCCTATACTCCTCAGCTCCATATAGTCTACCATGTCTGTCAGTCTGTGACTTTAATACTTAATCATCGACCTGGAACAAGCTTGCAGCCAATTAAGTCAGAATTGTGACAGAACTTCATATCTACTTGTTCCAGATTAGGGAAGTATTAAAGTCACTCGATCAGTATGACAGCCATGCAGGTCATCCATGTATACTGGCCAGCTAGTATACATTTCTCTCAGTACAATTCTTCTTTAATATGCGTGGTTTGTAAAATGTTCTTTTTTATCCAGATATTACATCATATATGGCAGCAAAATATTTCTACCCAATATCCTTATCTTAAGAGTTTCCTAGCACAACAGTCAGTGGTGTTAATTAACCTACAATTGCTCTTTACACTATAACTCTTAAGGTTTGCAGTTTAATATCCAAGGTTGAATTAAGGAACAGGGAGAACACACTGAAATGTGCTGATCCCACACTAGCCTGGTAAAACATTAGACTTCAGTAATCTTATAATGTTAGACCCAGTTTGTCAAGTCCAAATGGGTGAGTTGTATTTTTACTTTTTTACCCTTTAACAGGAAACCAATGTTCTGGGGTTCAGAGGTCCCCGCAAAATGACTGTTATTATACCTGGGATGAACCAGGATTGCGAGAGAGTGTGCATACGGCCGCGTAATGTAAGTTCTCTGTAAGATCCTCAGAATCATTGGGTTTTAAAGAGTTTGTTGTAAGTGTATTTTTTTAGACCTAAAATAATCAGAAGTATGGTATGCCTCGGCACAGTGTAGCCATTAGTTTAATTCTGTTCTTTACAGAAAGGAGAAGAATAGTGATGAGCCAGAGTACCTTGGTTTGCTTTGCAGGACATTCGCCAAACTGCTGCTAAGTTTGAATATTAATTTGAACTCAAAGATTCAAAGTCGAATCTTTAAAAATAATTCTGGCCATTTTCAAAATTAAGGGCATGAGAAGCTGGGCACTGCCAGGAGGGACATGTACCAATGCCAAAATGTTTTAATAAAATTCCGTTCATTGGGGAGCAGCTATTTTAATAATAATTTTTTACACTGATGTTTTGTACCAGTTTTTTTTACAATGTAGATAGAATCTTTATTTTACAGTTAAAAGTTTACAAACTATGTAACTCTAAATGCTGTATTGCTGCCTCTGCACAGGGCAGGCAGGACCGGGAAGGGCAGTGGGTCACTCCTCATGACTCATTCAGCTGTGCATGCAAAATTCACCATGAGCTATAGGGTTCAGTAAATATCTCAGTAAATATAGTTACATAGTTAGTCAGGTTGAAAAAAGACACAAGTCCATCGAGTCCAACCTATAGAGATATGAAAAAAAAGAAGAAAAGCCTAAACAGAACACTATGCCCACAATAAGCCAATGTTAATCCAGAGGAAGGCAAAAAAAACCCTATAAGGCATGGTTCATTTTGCTCCAACAGGGGAAAAAATTCCTTCCTGATCCCACAAGGCAATCGGATATTCCCTGGATCAACAATCTCTGATGCTTAATATACCTCTAAGAACTATATATCCAGTAATATTCTGTGCATTTAGGAATACATCCAGATATTTTTTTAAACGATTAACCGAGCTAGCTAGAACAAGCTCCTGGGGGAGTCTGTTCCACATTTTCACAGCTCTAAGTGTGAAGAATCCTTTCCGTATGCAAAGGTTAAACCTCTTTCCTCCAGACGCAAAGAGTGCCCCCTTGTCCTTTGCAGTGACCTTAACGTGAATAATTTGGCACCAAGTTCTTTATATGGACCATTTATGTATTTATACATGGTGATCATGTCCCCCCTTAATCGCCTCTTCTCCAGAGAGAACAAATTCAGGTCAGCTAATCGTTCCTCATAGCTGAGCTCCTTCATGCCTCTTATGAGTCTGGATATCCGTTTTACAGAAAAGGATATCCAGGCAAAGAAAGTACAATTATCTGTTTAGCCCCCCAGGGCCTAAAGTATACTGCTCCTCTCAGATGCATACCTACCTCCATTCTGTGGTCATGACTCATTGTTTACATGCTCTGGCAAAAAAAGGGCCATGTCTGTGCAGTAGCTCCCCATAGATTTTTATAGGACTGTCTACCAAGTGTGACTGCTTTGCGGTTTATTATTAAACATTAGGAGGCCAACAGATTCCTCCCAACCATCCCAGTTTCCACAGGACTGTCCTGGGCTTTGAATTAAATTCTGGGGTACCATGGACCTAGCCTGTGCCTTGGATCTGGGTGCTGTCACTTAACAAAGAGCAGCAAGTCGAGTCTGGGAAGGAAGACATTCTTGTACTGCTGTATGGAAGCTGCACTGATCAGAGGTGTGAATGAGGTGGTGAAGGAGATCTGGTATGTAGCTATGGGAGTGTTCAGCAGAGCCCTAATTAGATTTCACACCAAAAAACACCTTTTAGTTACAGTTCTGTCACAGCTTTGCTATACCATATTTTCCAATTCTTCCAGTACCACTTCTATTTCTTTCATCACTACAGGAACATGAGACACTTCAGACTCGTTACCAGAATGGTAACATGGAGAATATTATCGCTCTGCACAACAAAGCACCATCCTGGAATGAGGAGACTCAGTCATATGTCCTAAATTTTCATGGTCGTGTCACGCAGGCCTCTGTGAAGAATTTTCAGATTATAAATGCTGAGGACAGTAAGTTATTCCGTTACATGAGGTGATATAGTGCAAAATAAAGTGTATTCCACCTTACATCTCAGTTCTGTAACAGACAGAGGTTACATGAACCTCAATCTTAAATGGTCAGTCTAGTCAAAACTGATATTTCAGTTTGTGGGTAGACACTTGATAACTGACTAACCCATACCTGCTTTTATCCCTCAAGGACTACTGTGGCTAATCTCCTTCCTAATGTTTCCAGCTCTGCTCCCCCTTTTATTGGGGTCTCACTCCTCCTGCTGCAGTAGGGGCACTCTCTCTCTCTTCTTTCTGCCGATTTAAAAAGCAGTGTTATGGCTATACTGCAGCTCTACCACTGCAGACATTACTATAGCAAAGCAGTATGCTTTACAAATGTACATTGTGCTCTGCTAGCTTCAGGAGTCCAAATGAATGGAGATGTAAAGAAAGTTTAAATTCACATGTCCGGCTCTACTGCAACCATATGCTCCACAACATACCCTGCTTTTTATAAATTGGCTATAAAATGCAGCCTGCAGTGTGTGTAGCTGAGTGAAAATGAGCCCCTAAATGTGAGAGACACTTGTAGATTCAATGTGTTGCCACTGGAAAACTAGCAAACCAGTAGCATACCTGGGTAGTAGGCAGCTAATGTTTCTTGCAGGTAATTACACATGCATTATTCAAATCCCAGTTTAAATTCTGAAGTCATAACTTTTACGTGGCCCTCTCCCCTCCTGGGTCTTACTACTGATTCATTTCTGTGATGGGCAGCTTTAAGGACCAATAGTGTACTCTGCAAAATTCAGAACTGTAATATTATTGTGACATTCGGTAATTTATTAGATACATCTTCTCTTGTAGTTAGCCCTTTTAATGACAGTGAAAGGTGGGTGGAGTTGGGAACATGAGAGCTGATATCTTGCCACTCAAAGCCGAGAGTCAGGGCAAAATTAATGGCGACTGATGCACTAAGCACAGCCCAATAATGGTGCCCTCTTTAGACCCTCCATTGCTTAACTGACAAAGCATTAAATGAGTATTAAAGCCAGTCCTTGTTTTGGCTATACTTTTCTTTTGGGTCACAGAAATACATTTACAAATGTATTCCTGTAATCCAAAGTCAGCCAATAGAGTGCTAATTATAGACTATCAATGAAGTTTAGTTCTGATAGTTAAAAAAAAGAAAAGACAGAGATGTGTGTTACTTTAAACTGCTGTGCTAGACTGTTTATGCCATGGCAATTTACGACAGGGCTGCATTGGGAGTCTTTTGAAGAGTCTGCTAATGGAGGTCACTTTCCCTGGCTGCCCACCACAGAAATGAGATATAAATCTGACCGTTTGGTCACTTACTTGTGGATTTTTAGGATGGTACCATGTTCAGCATGACTTCTCCATTCTCCCCACATAGTTTGGGGTCCGTCAGACCTCATTATCTTCAGAGTCCTGGAACAGGGTTAAATGGCCAGCCGGGAGCTTCCTGGATGTTACATAGTTACATAGTATTTGGGGTTGAATAAAGACATACATCCATCAAGTCCAATCCATACAGGTCCACGCATCATCTCATTCTTAGGGATACTGGTATCCCTGGATATTACGGTCCCTCAAGAAATTGTCCAAACGTTGTAAGTGGCCATCTAAAGACGGCCTATTGGCCCTGCCCACTTGCGCGCGCAGTGCTTTCGAGCGGGAAACTGCCCAAATTTAAAAACAGGCAGTGATGCCAGTTTACATACTAGCTTTAGAGCCGGCGGATCGCTGCTTATATAACGTGCGTCCCCCCCCCCCGTCCGCAGCCCCCCTTCTCTGCTTCATCAGCTTTTTAGGGGGTCCCTAGGTGACATTAGGGGTCTTGGAGACCACTGATGTCTCCATAAAGAGGACCTGTCACATCTATTTGCTATCACATAGGGGGGTTTCTTAGCCCCCCTATGTGATCACAATAACGTTACGTTAAAAAAAAAGAATTTACAAAAAAATACAAAAATGTTTTCAAGTCCTCACCCAAACATACATGCATGCAAACATACGTTGGGTGCTTATACATGTGAAAATGACGATTGCGCCAATTACACCGCACATGCTACATAACGTCGCAGTTAGAGCAATAATTTTAGGGCCATTAATCACTTATAACACTAAACTGATGAGCGGTAAAAGCATTTAAAGCGTTGCCTATGGTCAATTTTGGGTATTGTAGTTTTTTTGCAATTTCGCAGGCGCGCACAATTTTAAGGCTTCACATGTTTGGTGTCTAATTACTCAAAGCGACCCTGTCTTTTATATTTTATCAAGAAATTGGGTAATAATAATTGTTTCCTAACATAATGTAAAAAAAAAAAATTCTTTCAAAATTTTCAGTAATTTTCCCTTAATATAGTAAAAAATACCCCCCCCCCCCCCAAATAAAACCCCCCGGGGTGATTAAATACCACCAAAAGAAAGCTCTATCCGTCCCCAAAAAATTGTATAAAATTTATTTCAGTACAGCGTTGCATGGCGGAATAAATGTCAGTCAAAGTACTGCAGCGCTCAATACTGAAAAATGGCCTGGTCAGGAATGGGGTGTAAACACCTGGTGAGCAAGTGGTTAAGGATACCTCTTCTAATGAAGAAGTTGTTCTGGTGACAAGAGAGGATTTGTCTTAATTTTCCTTCCTGTTGTGCCTTTGGGACAGGCGTTGAAGAGAAATCTCCTCAATAGCTATATGATCTGATAGCAATCGAGTCAATAAACCGTTTTTGACTTGAAATTCTATTGGAGAGCGAGTGACTTTATACATACACTTATCTCCTCAATAGGACACTGACAGCAAAAGCCCATTTTTTACTCTACCAAATAAGAAATTAGGGTGTAGATGCACTTTAATGGATCAATGTTTTTATTGGTGCCAATACAGGTTTATGTTGGGGGGACAGCGGTAAATATATAATTACGGTAGATGGTGGAAGGTGATTACTTTACATAACCTGAAGGCAGTCCATGAAGCAATGAATACAACAAGGAACCTGGTCAAATATGCCAAGGGAGGAAAGAAAAGCAAACAATGCATTTTCTGAGTTAAAAGAGAACTATGCGGTCAGTGTTTTTCCCCATAGTTCTCTTTAGGGTCACGGGAGGACATGTACTAGCGTCCTCCCATGATCCAAAGCCCGCGATATACTGTGAGCGCTGCAGTTGGGTCGGATCCCGACATTACTGTCGAGATCCACCCAGCTGCGTGAGTGACAGCTCGCTCTGCCTATCTAGAGGCAAAGTCAGCTGTGCCCGCCCCTCCCCCATCCGTTCCTCCACTCAGCGCTGGAGGATTGGAGAGGGGAGGGGGGAATCCCTGCGGGGAGCGGTGACTCACAGTCACCGCTCACTGCAGGGAGATGACCAGGAAGTGAGCGGATCGGCGGCATGTTTCTGCTCACTTCCCGGTCGATAGAGCCGACCTATGACAGCTTCTTTGTCACATGTCAGCTCTAACTATGAGAATGAGTGGAAATCACTCACCTCATAGATCTCCTTTAATCCTAAAATTTTGAGTTGTAGCAGAAGGTGTTGTATTCCTCTAATAATAGAGGGAGTTTTCCTATTCTATATTTCTTCCTATAACATGTCATCTGAGTGGTAAAATGTCATCTCTCTTTCCTCTTGCAGATGAGTACATTGTCATGCAGTTTGGCCGAGTAGCAGAGGATGTTTTCACCATGGATTTCCGCTATCCACTTTGTGCTCTGCAGGCCTTTGCCATCTGTTTGTCCAGCTTTGACAGCAAACTTGCCTGTGAATAGAGTTTGGAATTACAAAGACTGGAATAAATCTTGGAGTTCAAGAACAGTTGTATTAGTAAAATTAGACATTTAAGTGGAACCTAAGCCATAAAATATTTTGATAGAATGGGGGAGGATGAGATCTTCTGTGAGGTTGTTATACAGTACCTGCCTGTGACCTCATGGGGGAGATTAACTTTCATTTCTAGTAGGATAACTTAGACAGGAAGTGTGGGAGAATCTCTCTAATAAGAGCACAGACACTAATAAACCCCCTGCATCAGATTTTTCCTCATGTGTCCCTACTGGGGAGATTTCACCTCATATTCTGGCCTGGTAAACACAAAAAAGTCAAAAGAAATCTCCCCGACGGAAGCACAGACAGTGATGAAACCCTGACGGGGGCTCCAGTTCTTCCTCGCTATGTCTGAGAGTAAAACAAAAGTCTGGCTGGAGTTCCACTTTAAAGCGTTTATTAATTTTTGCACTTGCTAAAGCGTCTAAATCTCTGCAAGCGATAGAGACTGTTTTTTTTCCCATGTTCACTGAGGCACAAAGATCACATTGAGTCTTTTCTATGTAAGTACCTTTCTTAATCTGCTTATAGGATTGAGAAATATAAATGGTAACAGGAAACACATATACAATTATATTTTCACTATGGACTAAAGGTTCTTTAACCGACTCTAGGAAAAAAAGTGACATTAGTTGGTGAACTACTCAACTGCAATTGTGCTAAAGTCAGATTTCTCTCATCCACGTTAGTTTCAGCAGGTTTTTCACAGTGCTTCTGGATTGTACTACAGTTCCCGTTTACAAAGTTTTGTGCTGTGTATCTTCCCTGTTAGATAGCAGTGTGGGCTCAGACAAAGGGAAGTGCCTGGAACCATTAAACAGGCTGGCCTGGATTTTCACTAGCTTAGATTCAGGGCCATTCAGAAGAATAGGATACTGGAAATTGTAGGCAGCTAGATGCACCAGATGGATGTAAGGATAGAAATTAGGGAAACTCAGCAGGCTAAAACTTTTCAGGCAATTAATAGCAAATATGTGCTTGGCCCTGCAGCGTGTTTAACTGACTTTCCTTTTGCTCCTTTGCAACCCTTTATGCAGCCAGGAACATGCTCTGTACTTCCAGGTATGGGGATTGTGTGCCGCACTCCCCTTTTCTCATGTGACACTGCTGTCCTCAACCCTGTGTAAACTCCAACTGGTATCCACTCAGTTCATGTAGGGATTTTTTTTCTACATTCCTGATGGCAAATGGAGCTACAGGGGAGCGAAGGCAAGTATAACATGCTATGGTGTTCAGCTTTAAAGTGAACCTGTTGCTCTGCCCTCCATGGCCAATGCATCGGTTCACTTCACAGTTGTACTTAGCTCATTCTAGGTAAAGTGGCAGATAAACAGGTTCACTATTAATCACAGGAAGTACCAGAGGGGCCATTACTTACCTTCTCCTAGATATACCACCACTGCAACACTCTGACTATGTGAGCAACCCCAGAGAAAGAGAAACCCCAGCCAACCAGTTATACAGTACATTTGAAGCACATACACAGGAATGATGTGCAGACATCCCAACCTGCAAAACCTTATTTCAGGGAGGTTCCCATCTCATTTCTCGTATATATATATATAGAATCTCTCTCGTGGACGTCAGGGAGCCGCTATCTGATAGCGGGAGACTGCCTGAACATCAGGGAGACTTGAGATCCCTGGATGTGTAACGTGATGTACATACAGTATTCTTATGGTGCATGTGGCTGCATAGCATGTTCAGTGGTCACAACACTTTAACTGAAAATACTCCATGCCATTACTCCTCTCATCGTAAGCTTGATTCAGCTAGGAGCTGGTGTGTGACAAGTCAGTAAAGAGAAATTTCAGATTGTGCTGTATCTAAGGGCTTTTTACACACCAAATGCAGACCAGATCTCCATGAGTTTCTGCACACGCAGTGCAGTGCGTTTTTAGCTGCGTTTTTGATGCGTTCCAGAGCGTTTGCATGCATTTTTTATGCGTTTGCATGCGTTCCAGAGTGGTCCAGAGCAGGTAAAATAGGGCTTGCTGCAGTTTTTTTTTAACATGCTCTGGAACTGAACGCTGAGGTGTGAACTAGAGATCCAAATACCTTTGGAATACATTGGACGCAGTTTTGATCCGGTCTGTAACTGCTCTGCTCTGCTCCTGGAACGCGCTTGGTGTGAACTAGCCCCAAGTGAACTTGAAAGTGAATGTGAAAGTATATTTTTATATATTTGTTAGTTTTTCTTTAAAAGAGAAGACAAAATCTGATAATAAATATGTAAAATGAAAAGTTATTTACATGTGTTTGATTTTGATTCTTGGATGTACTTCTAAAAAGAAGCAAATTCAATGTAGTCTTGGGCCTGCAGCAGAAAATAAAGGCTGCATTATTAAAAAAAATCATGCTTCTGTGTGTTCTGGACAACATAGTAGCTTTTACACGTCATGAATTTCCATCCAAAAGGGGCCTTTCTTTCAAAAATAGTCCCCAGGTCCGAGAAGATTTGTAACATTTTAGTGCAGGCACTTCTTACAATATAAAAACAACATACAAAACATGCAACTGCAAATTCAGTGGTTATTCTTACCCTGATCGCACATAGCTGGCTATTCACGTTAGATTTTGGTTGGCGATGCGTACGAGATATGACGAAGATAAAACAGTTTATCAATCACTTTTTCAATAGATGAACACATGGACATGCAAATTCTTTTTATAAGAGTATGCTTTCCATGTGTACAGATCTCACTCCTGTTATCCTGGAGGAGCAACAGTTAATGGCTTAGGAAATCAACCTATCTGATAGGTGTTTGCATCCAAATATATGATCTCATTGGACCTACTGAGGTCTGAAATGAACCCTGTACATGCTTTGTCACCTCATCTTGTGAAAATCAACAGCATGGTGACCATCATCTAAGGGAATTGGAAAACTCTAATGTTTTTAGGTGTTTTTTATTGTGAATAGCCCGTACAGCAGCCCTTTGGTTTGACTGAAGTGAAGGGCTCCGGCGGCCGAAGAGAGCCGAAGGATCAGCAGAAGCTATGGCTGAATCCTTCGACTCTTTAGTGAATAAACCCCTAAATAATGTATCTCGGGGAATCAACCGATGGCAAGGACCTAAAGTGAAAGAACACCGTTTTGCCCAAGCTAAGATATATGCTTTCCAAGTAAATACAGCAACCAAGTTCCTAATCATATCACTGACTTGTTGCAAATCAATTGGAATGAGAAATATGGGCATGGGAGTTCAAAAGCTTCCGCTGTGGGATCCAGTTCCCTGAACCTCTGGAAGTTTTGCCAGGAAAAAACATCAGCAATCATATTACACTTGCCCACTAAATATTTATCTAAATATCAACTTTCAAGCAGAGAAAAAAACAGATGTCTAGGCAATGAGTAACTACACGAGGAGACCTAGATGCAAGACAAATAACTGCATATAAGACACCTTGTTATCAGTCTGCAATTGAATCCTCCTGTTACATAAATGAGGTCACTGCAAACTTAAGATACCACTATAAGAAACAATTCCAAATCAAACATTGTTTTTCATACATTCAATTTGTGATGATACAATGAACCTCAAAAATGCTCCAAAATTTCCCTGGCTGTATCAAGCAACAACTGAAAGTCAGCATCAGAAACAAACATCTTCTGCCAGAAGGAACGACCCATGTAAACAAGAAGAAATTTATGCCAGAGCAAAAGTGAACAAAGGTGGGGGGAGAAGCGCTCAAACTGAGTTGTACCTGTCTAGCAGGTGGGGAACTGGCTGGGTGGTGGGAGATGGTGTACTGGGGTCTAGGACCGCTTGGGTGAACAATGGGTGATGGTGAGGCAGGGGCGGATCCAGAGTCTATTCTCGGGAGGGGCACTGCCAGAAAATTAAGTTTTGCTTACAGAATGGTTAATATTTTATTTAAGACGGTTTCCCGGCCAACCACAATTAAGCCGGCCAAACAACATGCAGCCGGCTTCCCGGGCAATCAGGAAGCCGGTTGGCATGTCATTACCCGCTGCCGGCTTCCTGATTACCCGGGAAGCCTGCTCCATGCCAGTGGAAGCACCGGTATTGGTATTCAGTATCGGCGAGTACCAAAAGCAAAATATCGGTACTTGATACCGAAAAACCGGCATTGGTGCATCAAACATGTAGGGTTCATTCACACTGGATCGGCCAGCATGTACAGCTCCGTGCTGCATGCACAGCCGTATCGGGCAGCTCCCGGGAAGGAAGATGTTGCTGATGTCAGATCGTCCAGATGGCGATGTTGAAGGTCCAGTTGATGGAGCAAAATGGCATACAAAGGTTAGGAATTTGCATGAAGCAATATAGTAGAAATGTAGTAATTTACCACAAGGTATTGGGTGATGTGCTGTCATCGGCGGTGGATGTAGGTGGTGGTCCTCAGGACTTTGCTGTTTCCATGCCCATGCGATGTGCGCAGAAATTCCTGATGTCCCCAAAAGGATTGCTGCAGTTGCGGGTACCTTGACTGAGGTTGAGGGTGACTGAGGCTGCAGTTGTGGGTACCTTGACTGAGGTTGGGGTGGGTACCTCTGGTGCAGCTCGAGATGACGGTGGGTGAAGACGGTATTGCGGCCGTGGAGTGTGTGGGAAGAACAGGGGCCAAATGAATGTCACTCAGTGGCTGCACTGATTATGCAGACCACAGAGTGTGGGATCGAGGTGTGAGGCTCCGGAGAGTGGATCTGGAGGTGGGGAGATGCACACACACGTCGGAGCCGGGACCGTGGCCCGGACAGCGTGTGTGTGTGTGACAGCCGTCGGCGGCTGTGGGAGAGATATGCGGCAGCCGGGGAGCCGCACGGTCTGGATGGTGGAGGCAGCTGGAGGAGCTAGCGTGAAGCAGGTCACGCTACTGGTGGACAGGAAAGAGGGTCCAGCGTGGGTGCCTCGTGCAGGAACGGCAACGCGTTTCGAAAATGTCGGTTCTTCTTTGTCAAGCTGGTAAGAAAGTGCTTTCTTACCGGCTTGACAAAGAAGAACCGACATCTTCAAAACGCGTTGCCGTTCCTGCATGAGGCACCCACGCTGGACCCTCTTTCCTGTCTCTCCCACAGCCGCCGACGGCTGTCACACACATACACAGAGCGCTGTAAAACAGGATGCCAGAGCAAAGACCATCAAAGAAAAAATGGCAAGAAAAAAATCATATTCATTGGTATAATCCGTGATGCAAACGCCAGAAGCCCAAACAAGGATTGGATTTTCTTCCCCTTTTCTTTCTAAAGTAAAATAGACAAAGAACCTTTCAAATGAGCAATCTTAAATGGAGGCAGCCTAAATTCCATAATGACAGTATCAATTTGGATACTGAGAACTTCAAGCGAAGTATCATATCTTACCATCCATTCCAAGAAACAAGCAAAGGGTTAAAAAAAAAAAACCAAGACAATGAGAACCCCATAGGGTATGAAAGAAAAAACCTGCCCTCAAATTGAAAACCAAGGGAATTAAAAGAACCAGGCCAAATAGGCAGTAGCCTGAAAGCCCATTTTATATCACTTTTAGCAAGCAAAGCAGTAGAGCCAAATGAGCGAATAATACAAAGAGTTTCCTCAGAAGTGGTATAGGATCCCTTATGATGCACTTGCAGTCTAGGTGGATGATGCACTTCTGGGTCTCCAACAATTACGCACTTCTAGCCCTGATCCACTTGCAGCAGGGGAGGGGACACTTCCGCAGTAGCCTCACTAGGGGCAATACGGGGGTCCACATCTGGCGGCAAATCTTGATCTGAATCCACATCTTGACCTCAGCAAGACCTGGATTCACAGGGTGGACACAAACGATCCATTGGGCAGTATGGAAGGTCCAGCGATGTCAATGGAAGCAACATTTTGGGATAGAAAATCTGGAGAGATCTGATGGAGCTACCAAGGCAGACAGGATCACAGCCACTCTTCTCCTCATGGTGTAGATGCACTATGAAGCATCTCCTGAAGCAAGGAATCTATCCCTATACAGCCTGTCTTGAAGAGATATTACCTCTGACAGAACCTCTGATAAAGAATAAATGGAGGTAAGCACAGCTGTTAATTGGATGCTTGATTTCCCACAAACATGCATTTTACAGTTCTGCAGTAAACACAAACTAAAAAGCAGCTGATATTTGCTGAGAGTTCTAACTGCTGCATGGATAAAAAAAAACGGCATGATATTTATGTGCAAAATTTCATATTTACATGACAAATGGCCAGTTCAAACCAGCAAGCCACACTAAATGCAAAGCCAATCCAGGCGCATCACATTGTTTATTTTTTGGTTAGAGTTTTTATGAAATGTCACGAGTGGCATTTCATTTCATTGTGTTCTATCGGCACAGTGCGGTTCTACTATGTCGCAACACCCTGCGCTGAAAATAAGTACCTCGTGTAGTACTGAGCCAATTTAAAATAAGGCAAATTGTCGTGCCTGTGCCTTGGGGCTGCGCTGGAAAAAAGCAACCAGCACACCCCCCAATGCATCTGGCATGATTGGGACCTAAAACAAAACTATAATAAAGACATTTGGCAAGTCTCCTGCGCACAATATCTTTAAATTATCATTCCTGATTCAATCAGTAAAGAAATGGTGCTACTTTGATGTCTGAGTCTAAAAGAAGGTTGCAATCGATGGTGGCTCTGTTCTGCAATACTTAGTAATAATAATAATACTTCTACTGGCAGGCAGAAACATTGCTCAGCATCCAAGCTTCAACTCTGTCACTGATTCATCAGCAGAATTTTTCTTGTTACTGTAGCGCCCATCACCTTTGGTGAAGTGCTTGCTAGCTATTTAGTGATAGCCAGGGCTGTATGCAGCCTGGTTGAATTTTGTAGCAGCCAGCACATGGTTAATCCTAGGTGTCCAACCTTGTCTGTACCCCCTGGGGCGGAGTGAGACTCTGTCACATTATGGGACAGCCAATGGGTGACACTGTGATATGTGTACAGGGCAGCAGCCAGTTACTGGGCTTTTTGTAGCCAGTGATGTCTGCTGACAAAGGATATATATATTGGTGGGAGGCCATGTGCTCGCTCTCTTGCCTGGACCAGCCATGGACTGAGGTTGGGTGTTCAGCCTGCCCCTAGGCTAGGCCGAGGCCTGGGGGTGGGAGTTGGCTGAGCTGCTGAAGGAGAAGCCTCCTTGAGAGTTTGCAGTCAGGAGAATGCCTGTAAGGATGGAAGAATCAGGACCCGTTTGGGCTTCTGAAGTGCCTGGTATTCAGAGGGACTTCTGAGCGGGGTCAGTGTTCTTCCAAGGATTGTGGAGATGTACTTCACGAAGATAAGATCTGGTGAGTCTGGAGCTATGGAGGCCAGTGCACCTAGACCCTATACCCTCTCTCCCTAGTTAGAAGTGAATAAACTGTTTAACCAGCATTTTACGATTGGAGCGGACTTCAGTTTGTGGGCACAGGAAGAGGGCGGTTAATGCTAATGGGGCAGTTGAAAATCTATCCCTAGACTGACTAGATATGGACCTGTTCATCCAGCGGCTCCTTCGGGGGTGAGCGCTACATTACCTATAAAGAAATAGACACTCCCAGTTCATTTCAGTATAAAAACAGGTGGGCAAGCATTCACAGGAACAGTGAATAAACTTGGCAGCACTTATATTCAGAGACGAGCTGTAATCCTTCAGTATGGCCACTAGATGGGGTATTTGTGCTGTAGGGAAGATTCGTAATGATTTCATGTTTGCCCTGCAGACACTGACAGCTCAGGATCACCAGGTGAGCTTACACTCAACAAACAGCTATCTATCTATCTATCTATCTCTCTATCATCTATTTAATATATATCTCTTTATCATCTCTCTCTCTCTCTCTCATCTATCTATCTATCTAATATATCTCTCTCGATCATCTATCATTCTAATCTCTCTCTCTCTCTCTCCTCTCTCTCTCTCTCTCTCTCTCTCTCTCTCTCTCTCTCTCTATCTATCTATCTATCCATGTCTCTGACTGGCCATTGGCCATGACTTGTTAAATTTAAAGAGCGTGTATGGTCAAAATGTTTTTCTTTTGTATTGTTAAAGTAGGGAAAGTTTAAAGCCGCTGTCAGATTTTTATTGCGGTCTGTGTCCCTTTGGGTGTATTGATTCACTGTTTGTCCTGTAATGTTATCACTTTGGACAGATAGTGATGGCAATTCCCAAAATGTAAGGGGTTATTCACTAAGCCACCAAAGGCAACCAAGTGAATATCCAAGCCGAAGTGAAGTGAGCCGAACCCTGTTCGGCCATTCACTTCAGCCTTGTACGGCTAATTTCAGCCGTACATCGGCTAAAATCAGCCGCACATCGGCTGGCTTCGGTTCAGCCGAACATGCTCAACATGTTTGGCTGAGCTGAAGTGAAGGAGCCATTCGACTCAGTCGATACAACATCTGGATCGACTGAGTCGGACCTCTGGCATTTCACTTGCTGCCGTTCGCCCTATTCACTCACTGCCGAACGGCAGTGAGTGAATAGCCGGATGCTGCTGAGCGGCATTCGGCTAGGTTATTTCTGCTTACTACCTCTGAGGTAGCAAGAAGAATAAAAAAAAAAATTCAACAAAAGAAAAAAAAAACAGCGTGGGGACCCCCTCCTGATCCATGCCAGACCCTTGAGGTCTGGTAGAAAAGATAGGAGGAACCCCAAGTTATTTAAAAAAAAATGGAGTAGGGTTTCCCCCAAAGTTATACCAGACCCTTTAGGTCTGGCAGGAATTTAAAGGAGGAACCCCACCCCCACAAATGGGTAAACAAAAACGTGGAGTTCCCCCTAAAATTCCTAACCAATCCCTTAATCCGAGCACAGGCCTGGCGATCAAGCGCCCCTCTCTGCCATACCAGGCCACATGCCCTCGGTACTGGGAGGGTGCTTTTCCAAGGTCCACCCTGGAAAAGCACCTTGTTCTCATGCCAGTAGGGACAAGGGCCTCTTCCCCTGAGGTTATGGGGATCTGGGGGCAGAGGGGCTAATTTGCATCGTGGTACCCCCTTTAATAAAGGGGCACCCAGAAGCACCCTCCTTGTGAATGAGTAAGGAGTAATTGTACCCCTACCCATTCACTAAAGAGTTAAAGTAAAAATGAAAATAAAGAGCACACACTTTTGTAAAAATTCCTTTAATTGAAATAAAAACACCACAAACATTTTTCATAATTCCTTTATTAAAAAAACAAATATCTCCAAAATGTATCCAAGGGTCAATCATGACGTCCAGAGGTCAGCAGTATAAAGCAGAGTGCAGAGATCAGAGGTGTAAAGCAGGGTGCAGAGATTAGCGGTGTAAAGCAAGGTGCAGAGGTCAGCGGTGTAAAGCACAGTGCAGAGATCAGTAGTGTAACATAGAGGTCAGTGACTACTGCACTCTGCATTACCCTACCCTACGCTAGCGCCGGCGCTGCACATCTCCCAAACCCTGACAGGCATACCACGAATGCTGAGTGTACTAACAAGTGTATTGAGAGCACAGAAGCACATCAGGATGGAAATTGGCAGCATGGGGCAGGGAGACACTAGGAGGGGATGAGGATGACCAGAAAGCACTGAGGGGGTGCAGGGGAGAGGCTAGCACCCTGGTCGGCATAGCACACGTATATGTGTGTGTGTGTGTGTGTATGTATATATGCATGTACGTGTATATATATGTAGCCCCCATCACCTTTTGTGATGTGGCTACTAGACATTTAGTGATAGCCAGGGCTGTAGTCAGCCTGGCTGGATTTGTAGTGGCAATTATCTGGTTAATCCCAGGTGTCTAGCCTTGCCTGTACCCCCCTGACTCTGTCATATTGTGGGACAGCCAATGAAAGATAATGTATGTACAGTACAGCAGCTAATCACTGGGCTTCTCTCAGCCAGTGGTGCATGCTGGGATAGAGTACATATATTGGTGGGAGCTGCCATGTGCTCAGACTAGCCGGGACCATCCATGGATTAGGGCTGGGTCCTGTTCCACCTGCCCCCCAGGCTAGGCCAAGGCCTGGGGTTGGGCATGGGCTGGTGTGAGGGAAAAGGTTTCCCTGAGACCTCCAACATGGAGGAGGCCTGAGATGCTGAAAGAGGAAGAGAACCGGGACCAGTGCAGGCTCTTGAAGTACCCTGGAACTAAGTGGACTTCACAGCATGGTCGGTGTCTTTCCTGATTGAGGATCTGCATCCATCCTGTCTGTCTGTTATATCAGTGGCTGTCTGCTGTCTACCAGGTGGATTTACACTGATACATCTACAAAGTCTGGTGAGTCTGGAGTTTCTGATGGCTACCCCTGGACACCTAGAACCCCTATACCCTCTCTCCTCAGTGAATGTGTTCAATAAATCGTTACTTAGCATTTTACTACCGGAGTGGACATCAGTTTATGGGCGGTTAATGCTATCGGGTGGGCAGTTGAAGATCATACCCTAGACCGACTAGAAGTGAACCGGGCAAACCAGCGGCTCCTACTGGGGTAGCGCTACACATATATATATATATATACACTGAGTTGCCAGATTATTATGACCACCCCATCAGTACTTCATTGGGCCACCTTTTGCCTTCAATACTGCAGCGATTCTTCTTGGCATTGACCCCACGAGATATTGAAAGGTGATGCGAGGAATCTGACACCATGCCTGACAGGGGCGGACTGGGCCATTGGGAAGGGTGGCAATTGCCCCCGGGCCACGCTGTTAGAAGCTGCATACGGCGTGTGCTGGTTACTACTTAAAGGAGAACTATGAGATGAGTGATTTCCACTCACCTCATAGTAGTGTGCTGTGTGCAGCTTCTGAGAAAATACGCTATTAGCGTAGCGGGAGCAATGCAAAATGCGCAGCCAGCTTCCTCGCTATGCTAATAGCGTATCTTATCAGAAGCTGCACACAGCGCGTGCCGGTTTAAGTAGTAACCAGCATGCTCTGTATGCAGCTTCTAACAGCGTGCGAGACTGGAGGCCGCGCTTGTCGGTGGATCCAGGGATCAGATGAGTATTAAAAAAAAATTGGTTTATTTTATGTTCCCGGGGACATAATTTGTCAGGGGACGGTCTCCTGAATCCGGGGACTGTGCCCAGAAATAAGACTAAATCGATTATAATCGATGATTGAAAAAGTTGTCAACATTTTCAATCATCGATGAATCAGCTTTCGATTAGTTGTCCCTGTTCATGGCTTCACACACGCCACGTGCCGCACCTCACGCCTCCCCGCCTCACCCTTGCTGCTGCCAGACCCGCCCGCATCCACACGCCGCACCTCCTCCCTGCCTCACGCGCACCGCCCACATCCACGATCGGCACAGACGGGCCCGATCTCAGAAGCAAGTTGCTGGAAGACTGCACAGGTAAGCCTGCACTTTACCACACATGGTGCTCTATAATGTATTGCTGGGATGGTGGTATTTGTATTCCTCTATAGCTGATGATATATTGCGCTGTATATTATACCATTAGCTATAGAGGACTACAAATCCCAGCAATAATACATTATACAGCGCAATGCGGAATTCCACCAGCTATAATGTACTATTGCTGGGACTTGTAATCCTCTATAGCTGGTGTTATTCTGCATTGTGCTTTATAATGTATTATTGCTGGGATTTATTGTCCCCTTATACAGCGAAATGCAGAATACCACCAGCTATAGAGGCATCCCTCCACTACTATTGTGCTTTACATTTCCTAAACCGATAAATAAATTCATACTACTGTTACATGGATGGCAAAAGCGGCAGACCCATAGGTGGGGAGAAGGCGGGGGAAGAGGCAGAGCGGGAGGGGGGCAAAGTTGCTGCACCATGGGCCTCTGGGTTGTACTTGCCCCCTGGGCTAAAAGTTGCCAGTCAGCCCCTGATGCCTGATGAATAGCACTGTCCAGTTCTGTGAGATTTGATGGTTGTGGAACCAGCTGCCTGATGGCTCTAAGTTACACAGCATTCTCCTGCTGTTAATAGCAGTACCAAGAGCGCGGCTGCCAAAGCAGCCGTGTTCTTTTTTTAACCACTTCTGCGGGCCACCGTCTATAGACGTAATACGGCCCGGAAGTGGTTAAAGTGACATTAAAGTCAATTTTTTCCCCCTCCCCCCAATGTAAATGTCAGCACTAACCTTAACTGATGTCTCCTTATACGATCTTCTTCTTTCCTGATGTTTTAGGCTGTCCCTCCAGCGCTGCTGCGGGTCTCCGATCCAGCGCTGACTCCTCTGTCCTTGCTGGCACTTCCTGTCCCACGGTGTCTGCATGCGGGTGCACACGTCCATAGACTTACCTTGCGTCTCTGCTCGTCTCCCGGCCGAAAATCTGAACTGCGCATGCGCCCGCCCCAGGATGCTTTGCGGCCGCCTGAGCAGTTTCGGATTTTCGGACGGGAGCCCGCGGCAAAGACAGGGGTAATTTTAAACCGCTGTTAAGGTTTTTGTTTCGCTCAACTTTTTGCCTATATCTACTGCTTGCTAGCCATATATATATATGCAAAAAAGCCGGAGGGTTTAATAATGGGTCAATGCTCTCCTGATCCCTGGAACGACCGACAAGCGCAGACCCCCGTCTCTCAGGCTGTCATTATATGCATAAAGAGCGTGTTGGTAACTATCTTCTCAGAAGCTGCACACAGCGCGCCGGTTTAAATAGTAACCGACACACTCTGTATGCATATAATGACAGCATGAGAGCCGGGTCGCTGCGCTTGTCGGTGGATCAGGTGAGTATTTAAAAAAAAAAAAATGTTTTATTTTATGTTCCCGGGACATTTTTAAATGAACATAAAATAATAAAACCCCTGACATTTCCCTTTTAAAATAGAAATTGAAGACACAGAGTCCTCTACCCATACAGGTGGGGGAGAGCAGCGGGGATCCTGGGCCGCTCCTCTTCGCCCTGCCAAGCCACGGCTGTGTTGGCCGCCTGGCGCCCCTGTTGCCAATGGCGCCCTGTGCTCGCTGTGGCAACAGGGGCACAGCCAGGCCCGCCCTGGCTGCGCCCTCTCTCAGCTGCGCCTGAGGCGGGTGCCTCACTCGCCCCATGGTAGCTACAGCCCTGTCCAGAAAACCCGGTAAGAACTGCAAAGCCAGTTCTTTCTCAGCAAAATAATTTGTTTCTTGAAACCGCTCAGCCCCTCTGGTTGAGAGTCCTGGGTAACTACAACCCCCAGTTCTACCGTGGGATTGCCACACAATGCCACAATACATAAATAAACATATGTATATACAGGGCTGAGCTGTTGGCAGGGCTCAATCAGTACATACCCATATACATAACATACAGTGAAAGGTTGAATTACCCGGTTCTCTTTCCCCAGAGATCCCAGGCCTCCTGACAGCAGGAAGAGACAGCAGAGCAGCTCGATCTGAAGAGAAGAGAGCCGTCAGCTGCTGGGGCTGGGAGAATCACACACAGTTCATATGGCCTCAGGCACTGCCTTAGCTTGGTGCCTCACAGACAGTCTGCACAGAGTAGGGACGATGGGAGACTCCTCGGCGGGTGGCCCCTCAAATGTCTCTGTGAGGGGAGAGAGCCTGGAGACAGCTGCAGCACAGAGGCTGCAGGATTTGACTCCTTCCCCCTGAACACACTTAGACCCGGTCCTGCACGTGGGCGATCGCCGGTGCGGCGGCAGCCTTTTTTCAGGGACATTAGGGCCCCATAGCAACTGCGTGGGTCGCTATGGCGGTAGTTACGCCACTGCTTATTTCAGTGTTCATTATCTCTGTCTGATACGTTGTTATGAATCTTTTTTGATTTAATACATTTTCATAACCAACCTTATTTATTCCTTGCAGGCTATGGCTGTTGCAGCAAAAGATCAGAAATGTGCTAAAGAATTTTCAAAAACTCACAACATACCAAAAGTGTATAGCTCATATGAAGAGCTTGCCAAGGACCCCAATATAGGCAAGAAATAATTTACTTTTAAGTCATATCTAAACCCAATAACAGAGATGTAATATATTGCATCCCACCAGCCTGTAGATGTGGTGGCTGCATTCATTTTAATTTTTTGGGCTAAGAACATTTTCAGCAAGTACAGAAAATAGCTGTTTATCTTATCAAAAAAAGAAAGTGTTCCTGTCACTTCCAGTGAGCTGAACTGAAAGCCCAAACAAGCTTCTGTAAACTACCAACCCCACCCCCATGTAATGGAGATTACGAGAGAAAGACATATTTGAAGTCCAGCCTGGGCAACAACCATGGCTCCCTCAATAGATACAGTGGAGGAGTTAGCGTAGCCCCCTGAGACAGGGAGTGTGTTATTCACCAGATTACTTGGAGAAAAAATAAATGGGAAAAGCTTGAAAAAAAGAAAAACAATGCATCCACCATGTCCATGGATTGATAAGCTGCAATACTGACATTTTTGTTTTTAAGTTTAAATACACTTAAATGCCATAGTAGCTGATACATTTGCATCAGCAATGTAAAAAATGCTGGTTGGCAAAGTCACTGTATGAACGTTGCAGACAGATAAACTTTAGGACATTTCTCTGCAGCACCCCAGTCAGAAGGTGTAAGCCATTCAGTTTAGGACCCACGTTTAGACCTCACATAAGGAGGTTGTTAGCAGATGTCAGAACTGCAATGCAATGGAAAAGACTGCAGTGTGAACAAGGACTTACATAATATTAACTTCAAACGGGAAGACACTTTTGTTCTAAGGCTTGACAAAGAGGCTGTGCCTTGAAACGCGTAGCCGCCACTGCATAGAGAGCCCCCTTTTCTGTGCACAGTGCCCATTCATCTAGACTTCTTCCCGTTCGAAGATACAGCCTGTCTGTGGGACTCCAGCCTGTACGCACTGAACACAGCTGTTCGCGGCTCTCCCTCTCTCAGCCACCGCAGCGCGGCCTGGCCAGCCGTGCATGCGTGCTGCTAAGATCCGCCACAGTGTCTTCTCTTCCATTCTGATATTTCCCCTCTTCGGACCTCTCCAGACACCAGCCACTCATCCATCATCCCTGACATCCTGGTTGCCTTCCAACCGTAAGTTTCACATATTGTCCTATATCAAATATAGCCGAATTTCTAGGTAGTAGCGCTCTTTATATTTGTAGCTTGTTTATATGTACTGATTTTGCAGGGTCCTCTCCCTGTTAAAAAGAGCTTGCACACCATAATTTGTACCCCTTGTTCACTCAGTGACCCATAACCAGTTGTGCGCCTGTTTCAGTTGATTTTCTGTATTTACTAAACCTAGAAATGCTGACCTCTGACCCTATGTTTGTAGTCCCACGGTCAGTAGACCAGCAGAACCGCGACTTGCTTTACAAGGGTTTCTCTGCACCAAACCAATTCTACTAATGTGGAACTCCAAACCTACAACTTTAAGTTTTGGGTAAATAGGGGAAGAGGGAAATACCTTACAGCTGCTACAACCCAAATATGCCATTATAGTTATAATTATATAAAAATTGATTTTCCAGTGGGGTGCATGACTCTCAATATATCAAGCAATGTAAAAAAAAAGAAGAGAAGTGCAAAAGCTGTGCACATTGGGGGACAGTTATGTAAACTAACTTGTTGTTTGCAGTTGCTAATCTGTTGCTTCTTTTATTTTGAATGCAAAATAGGGACAGATTTATTTTATGTAATAAATTTACCACTTCCGAAAATTAACATAAACATATCTGTGTTTTCAAAATGTGCTCATTAGCACTTCTAAAGGTGCCCATACACCTTACGATTATCGGACGAACCTTTTCGCCCAATGATCGAACCGACGTACGATTTTCGTACGACGGCCCCATCCTGCCCAGATTATCAAAGGTTCAATCAGCGGTAGTTGAAAAAAAACACCTGGACGACTTGCGGTAATTGACCGCGATTTTTTTTGTTTGCGCATGCGCAGTGTTAATCATACGACTTTTGACAGACGGAAACGCCACCAACCATGCGAACATCTTACGATCGACCAAAGTTTTCAAACATGCTTGACCGTCAAAAGTTGTACGATTGTACAGTACTATTGGTCGGGCACTCTATTCAGACATTACGATTGTCGGACGAAAAGTCGATCGCATACGATTATCGTACGATAATCGTAAGGTGTATGGGCACCTTTAGTTCTAAGACATATATGTGACAATTCATTGCTAGATAAGCGCTTGCAGCTGCAGCAAAACTGAAAACATTGGTGTACAGTTGCTATTTGGCCGCAATATTATGCAAAACTAAACCTGTCACTTGGTTGCAAAATGAACCCAGCAAGATTAATGCTAACATTTGTACATGCAAAATACACATTATTTGATATGGAATTGCAAATGTCCTCCCAATATACGTTACATACAAATTTAAAAATAATCTTAGACAATTCTAAAACCACCTACATGCAGTATGTGAAGAAGCTGAGAGACAGTCTATGAGCCGGAGCAGGGGGTAGAAAGGTGAGCGCTGTCTCCCGGGGGGGATCAAGGAAGTTAGAGTGCTTTATACTATACCCCAAGACAAAAACGCGCAGTTAACTCTTGCAGTGTGGAGGTAGCCCCACTGCTATGAGCAACTTTTCAGTACTGCTATTTATTTTTATTTTTTTTAGGCTTCCTATAGGTGAAAGATGACAATGAGCCTGCAGCAGGATAATGGCTCTTTTCTATTACAAACAGGGGGGTGTTCCCAGACCACCAGGTTCCTTACAAAAGGGAGTGGGTTGGACTAGTGCAATACAGCAATAGAAAACTGAAGCTCTGAGCAGGTAGGCTGTGCTACCTTATGTATCTCAAGGCTGCATTTTTAATTTTGTCATACATGCATATTTTTATGTAGGCTTTGTGATACTAGAGAAAATTAATGATAATAGCCATTAGCTGCTGTGGATTATTGCTTATAAGGATATCTTATTATATTGTAGACAATGTGGAGTCTGTATTTTCCTGTGTATGATCAGATACACTCCCTCCTATCCCAGAAGGCCATAGGGGATGTAAAGGTTGTCCGGGCAGAGTTTGGCTCTAATCAATATTATGTCATGCGGGCGGTGGGGAAGGAGCTGGGAGGAGGGGCACTGCTGGATATCGGCTGCTATTGCCTCCAGTTTGCATTAATGGTTTTTAAAGGTGAAAAACCAGAATCAGTAACGGCCAAAGGTTTTCTGTATGAGACTGGTAAGTGTACACCACTATGTATCTACAATAGCTGCCTAATATTATTATTAGGGACGTCCCTAATAATGTCTAGTATCGGTATCAGGGCCAATACAGGGCATTTTCACAAGTACTTCTACTTGTGAAAATGCCCTGATACGAAAGGCTGATACCGGCCCTTTAAATTTTTAAAGAATTTCAGCTGCATGAGTGTGTTGCGATATATCTTAGTGGACTTTTTCAGACACACATAAATTTGCAAGAGAGACGGAGGTTTTGTTTGTTTGTTGATAGAAACTTGGTTCATACAATGGAAATGGCCAACAATACAGCCCAAACTGGTTTTACACAATGGGGTAGCTTGTCCTGTATTGATTTGTATCACAATGGGATGGTGATCGTGAATAGTCACGCCTAGCCTGGTCAAGACTCAAATCAAATCTTGACTACTGATGGCAATTTATGGTACAACGCTGCCACCTAGAGGTGGGAAACTGTATTGCCTTTTCCTAAAGGTCTAGGGGCGTAGCTTCCATTGTTTTAGGCCAGTTTTCTCTCAATAAAAAGCCAGTAGCTGAAAGGTAACAGAGCAGTTCACCAGCAGCACTTCACAAGACCAGGGCTTCACAGGAGGGGGACAGTACGAGTGTGCTTCACAAGACGAGAGGACTTGCTTCAAGACCAGGACATACAAAGGATACTGCAACGAGAAGCCATTTTTCCTAGGCCAAGAAGTCCTGCTCATCACGGAATTTGTGGAGCCTGCAGCCTAAAGCTAAGTACATTTTCAGTGTTTCCCCTCCTAGAAATCATACATGTACTAGAAGATAGTGTAGTGGGTGCATGTGAATGTTTGTAGCAGCCTGTCTTGTTGATGTATTTGTTTGCTTTTCCTGTAACTAAGTTTGTACACGCAGCATTTTCGCCAAGTAAAGTACTTTTAATGCTACTGAGTCAGTTTCCTTGAAGTTTACTGCAAGAACAGACAACAAATAGAAATTAAAGTTTTGCCAAGCTTTACAGCTGGGCTCATCCTTGAGATAAGCTTGACGTCTCTGGGATTTGTAGTCCAGAGCATTACAATTAGTTCCTGCGATTGCTGAGGACCTCAGTCTTTGATGCCCCACATCTCCTCCTTTCCGGCGCCTGCAGAGACAGGTACAACAGAGGACAGCTCACACTGCCCATACAGCCTTGGAGCTCCCGAAAACCCACTCGCAGAGCCCAGCACGAGCCCTAACACAAGACTTGTACCACCTGCAGAGCACCCACCCGCAACGCACGGAGAGCCCGGCACCACCATACAGCCCTGGTGAGATCTGTGAGCAGCCCTGGTGAGACCTGCACATAGCGCTGGTGAGATCGAAACACAGCCCTGGTGAGACCAAAATTCAGCCCTGGTGAGATCTGTGAGCAGCCCTGGTGAGATCTGTGAGCAGCCCTGGTGAGATCTGCATGCAGCCCTGGTGAGACCAAAATGCAGCCCTGGTGAGACCCGCACGCAGCCCTGGTGAGACCCCCACACAGCCCTGGTGAGACCCACACGCAGGCCTGGTGAACCGAATTTATATGGCACCAACAGTTTGCACAGCGCTTTACAATATAAAGAAGGCCTATATCTCCAGTTTAGATTTGCCAAGCTAACAACTACTTTTTACAACACCACCATAGCTATTACTACATATTTCTTCTTTCTGCCAATAGGTGTGGATAAAACTGTGACAATTATTCTTCAGTATGCAGGAAAACGTCAAGCCATTCTGACCTGCACTATCATGGTGGCAATGCCAAACCAGGCAGCCAATTGTGGTTCTAAAGGAATGATTCAGGTATTTACATTTAGGTCTCTAAAAAAAGAAAATTGTCTTATGTGACTGCACACTATGGACAAGGGTCTGTGAAGTCTGTTCAGTGTTTCTTTTAGAAACATTGGAAAATGACTAACTTTCAATAATATTATCAGTAGGGATGGACAGATACTAGTTTTGGTAATGGTGCCGATACCGAGTATTTGGGCGAGTACTCGTACTCACCCAAATGCTGCGATACTTACCCCCATACCGGAACTTCCGGTCAGAGGGAGATTTCCTCTGACCGTCAGTGCCACAAGGCAACATGGAACCGGCTTCAAGGCCAATCAGGAAGCTTGTTGCCAGGTAATGACGCACCTCCTGGCTTCCTGATTGGCTAGGAAGCCAACTTTACTTGTTGCTAGGTAGCCTTGCTTCCTGACCAATTAGGAAGCCGGGCGGCATGTCATGACCTGCATCCTGGCTTCCTGATTTACTAGGAAGCTTACTTCACTTGTTGCTAGGCAGCCTGGCATCCTAACCAATGTTTCAATAGAACGCCGGCTTCCCAGGCTACCAGGAAGCCTAGCGGCGGATCATGACAAGTTCCTGATAAGCTGGGCCAACGGTACCCCGGGATGCTGGTATCGGTATCAATGAGTACTGGAAAAAATATATCGATACTTGTAGGCGAAAAACCAGTATCCGTGTATCCCTACTTATCAGTATATGTTGCGGGAGGGGACATTATGTCTCTTTCCCACTGAGAATAACTGAGGTCCTTTACATTACCCATTAAAAGGACATTTTATATTATAAAAAAGTAGCAAAGGTTTTTAATCTAAAAGGTGTTTTAGGAAGTACATATTTTTGAGGTATTATTGCAACTCCTATCAGCAAAGCTCATGCTCCCTGATGATTGGAGAGCTCTTGTATATTATTTATTGTATTAATATTTTTTATATCCTTCCCAGATTCCAACCTGCATGTGGTGCTCAACCTTAGTTATTCTCAATGGCAAAGAGACACAATGTCCCCTCCCGCAATCCAGTAAACCCATGCATTTTATAAACAGCACAGGACTTAGCTATGAGGCCGAGCATGTGCGCCAATGTCTGCTAAAAGGTACTGTGCATGATCATGTGACCTGCGTTTTCCACTGATGCTCCCTTGGTTGTGTTCTAATGAGATTTTTTTTATTCTAGGACTTAAAGAAAGCCATTAACCTTGGCAGACAGTGAGCTGCTACACACCATCATGGATGAAGTTCGCAAGCAACTTGGAGTTCAATTCCCACAGGACAAAGTCTTATGATAAAGGAGTGGTCATTTAGAATTATGACTGCGGAACAGAAACATTTATTAAAAATCATATAAAAATAATATAATGATTGCTGCAACCTACCAAGTGCAATGAACCATCGTAACCAATCAAGATTCATATTTTACTTAACTAACTCAAATAAACTGCAATCTGTTTTTTTGTTATTGATTACTACACTTTGCATGTGATCATTGTTGTCTGCACTGTTTTACTGAAAAGGCACGACAGATATCCCCCTGTAACTTGGTACCTTCCTGTGCATGCAGAAAGGGGTTTTTCAGGAAGCGGTCCACCTGAGAGCCCACACACTGCCCGCACAAAGCCTGCAGTTCACATGAGAGCCTGCACAGTGCCTGCAGCCACCTGAGAGCCCGCACAGTCCCCCCAGCCCACCTGGGAGCCTGCACAGCTCCCCTGGGAGCCTGTACAGCCCAGTTTCTTTTTCTTAGATGTGCTAGTGGATAGATGAGGGGCAGTTAGTATTAGTGAAAAGGGAGTGCGGTTAGCAAAAGGGAGCGCAATTAGTGTAGGTGTGGCGGACCCCCGTACTCAGGACGAGTATGTCCGCCGATGTCTTCTTCCTTGCTCAGGAGATATTGGAACCCGCTGATCTGTAGCTCCCCGTTTCCCCAGTCACTAGCCAAGGCTTGAGTGTAGGGTAAACAAACTCTGCTTTATTGAACAACTGCACAAACTTTTATACAGAACACTGTCTTCTTCTTTGCTGAGGAGATCTTGCAACCTGAAGACCCTTAGCTCCCAGTTTCCCCAGTCACTAGCCAAGGCTTGAGTGTAGGGTAAACAAACTCTGCTTTATTGAACAACTGCACAAACTTTTATACAGAAAGTGATCAGATCAGAATATAATCCCATCACATCCCCCGTCCCCTCCCTGGACATTCTGTCTTCATAACACCACAGGTGTCCACCTGCTAACGAGCTCCAGACAGCCATGGCAAGAGCCTGGCCAGAATGTCATTGTTCTGAGCTCCCTCAGAGAACAATGGGAGATAACGAGGGATGGTGCTGATAGTCTTTCCATAACCAGGTCACACAGCATAACGCACTCAAACATAACTCAACCCCAATACACATTTACCTCATAAACTCATCACCATATCGTCACAGTAGGGTCCTGCTTAGGGTTGCCACCTGTCCAGGTTTTACCCGGACAGTTCGGGTTTTGAATGCTGTGTCCGGGATTCATGGCACCAGGAACCCGGACAGAAGATGTCAGGCAGAGAGGGGCAACCAAAATTAAGATAAGGGCTACTGGCCCCCCACTGAAAATAGTCTCAACTGTGATATTTACATATTAATGGGTGGTGCCCATTACATATGAATAGGCCACGCCTCATTCTCCCAAAAGAATATGTCTGTGTGATGCTAGAGTGTTCGGGTTTCGCTTGAAGAAAAGGTGGCAACCCTAGTCCTGCTCAACATATTTTTTTGGCAAAATATATTTCCTTACTCTTAAATATTGAATGCACTGATGACTTGGAATACACTTTTCCGTTTTATATAGTAAGTTGTAAGAGTGTTAAAAAAAAAAGTGGGTGCACTAAAGGACCCGGTCGGACAGCCAGAGGACTGACATGGTGGGAGGGTCAGTGGGTGGACTCGGTGGAACAGCCAGTGGACAGGCCTATGGTGTGTTGGTGGGGGGTGGTGGGGGGCTCAGGCCTAAAGCTGTATAAGGGGCCCCAAAGTTTTTGATGGCAGCCTTGGCCGCTCTACCAGTCTGGCCGCACGGAACAATTAAGTTATGAAAGCAGTAGCAGCAATACAGACAAGCAAATTAGGCAGCAACCTCAGCACGCACTGGGCCCCGCAGCTGCTAATTTGTGTAAGTAGATAGCCGCCCAAGGCTAGCAGCAGTGGGAGGATCCCAGAGGGAGAGGCCAGGTGAGCTCTGTACTGGGATGAGAAATCAAGTAAGCAGGGAAAGAGGGGGAGACTACATGCGGTTCTCTGTACTGTTACAGTACTCGGTACTTCTTCTGTATAATGCTACATAGAACATAGTGTTATGTCAGCAGGGCAGGCGCTGCTAGGCAAAGTAGGCAGCTTGTGAGCCTACATCCAAAAATGTTGATTGCGCTATAGATGTTAGGTATCACCGCATGCGCCAGAGCGAGAGCCACTATAGCTTAATGGAGCACAAATAAAATGTAACAATGGAATACAAGTGCGGGGATGTCACTGCACCTGTAGTCCATTGGCACTACCTCCAATCCATGTTACTGAATGTCTGTACCTATTTACGGACATGGATTGGAGGAAGAATCTGTAGGAACCAGATCATTGCATCCGCAATCCACTGGTCACAGTTGCAATATTTTATAATGCACTTTTTTTTTGCGAAGAAGTTTGCATTTATGATTTTTTTTAAAGGTGGAGTTTCCCTGTAAACAAACATTTCCCAAGAGCTTATTGACTATGCTCAGAGTATTGTAATCACACAGACTGATCAGGAGCAGAGTGTTGTATACCTGCTAAAGTGACCAATGTTGGAGAGTCTGCACATACATCAGGTGCACTTACAGAACTGCTCACTGTCACCATGGGGTATCTCCCAGAGCATCATGGGAGCTAAACATTTGATCACTTGGATCAAATCTGCTCAGCTATAATGGCATATGAAATGTCATACTGTATATCTTCATTCAGAATTTTGTCATTTACAAATTGGTATTAGCTGTCAGAGGGCTGCTGTTAGATTAAACTTCCCTGTTTAGTCACACACAAGGACTATGGTCTACATTCACACTGGGTGTCATTAGATGCATTCAGATGCATTAGATTACAATAGTTACAATAGTTTTCTAAACGCATATCAGTGGCGTCACAAGGGGGGTGCATGGGGTGCGGCCCGCACCCGGGTGACACCATTGGAGGGGTGACACCAAAATGACTATCGGTCATTTTAGTGTCACCCCTTCTGAAAAGTCGGGCACTCGGTCATGGACCGAGCGCCAAACAGTATCAGGAGAGAGGAGGGGACCCGGCGGCATACCTCATCCCACCGGGTGACTGTCCGCTCCTCTCTCTGCCGGCGTCCATCACCAAGATGGCCGACGGCAGGTATCAAGAAGATCGCCGCGCATGCGCGATGACATCATCGCGCACGTGCGCAGTGACGTCATGGCGGGATGACACCCGGTAACCGATCCGGGTGTCACCCGGCCTCGGGACGCCCCTGACGCATATACATGCATCTAAGGATTTCCAATCCATGTATTCTCTATTCACACATTGCGTTTAGATGCTTTTATCTGCAGTCAGTTTAGCTGTGTTCAGGTGCGTCCAGGAATGATTTTAACTTCTAAACACATGTAAACACAAGATGCGATTATTTCTTGAAATCCCAATAGCTACTTCAATGGACTGTTTCAATGGACAAAGGACAGATTATTATTATTATACAGGATTTATATAGCGCCAATAGTTTGCACAGCACTTATGGAGAGTGACAAGTGTGATGGTGGGTCTGGAACATGAATATGGGAAGGTGACTGCACAGTGGCGATCTGATCCCGAATTGTATCTATTTTGTTTTTTAAATGAGTGTCAATGTCCTGGGCAGTCAGCTAGTGAAATTGGAGAGAATAGGCGAATGCAGTGGGTTTCAAAAGAGGAGAGGGATAGAGAGGGAGGTGAAGGCAGAACTTGAAAAGTGTATTGAGGGGATAGAAGGATTCCCACTCCACCTCCTTTTTGTCCATTGGATCTGGGTGAGTGCGTCCAATGTAGGCCACCATGGGAGAGGGCAGCAGGGGAGGCAGAGTCGGATTCCTGAAGCCAGGTTTCAGTAACAGCAAGCATGTTAAAGGAATTGGAGATAAGAAGATCATGGACAGCAGTGAGTTTGTTAGCAGTGAGTTTGTTACAGACAGATGCATCTAAATGCATATGTGCATAAACACTTGTAAACACACGTCCTTGTAAGCATCTAGAACAGGGGTCATCAAACTTTTTAAACATCGGGCCAGTTCACTGTCCCTCAGACATTGCTGGGGGCCGGTTCATAGTTTGAAAAACAGGGGGGGGGGCGTGGCTGTGGTGCCGCACCGCCACGCCCCCTCCCATCCCAGGACAAAGGGGGAACGTTAGTGAGCAATTGCTGTGCGTTCCAGCAGCTGCTGCTCTGGTGTGAATGGCATTACGCTGCTAAAGGAACTAAGGCATTTGGTTTGCCTCGGCATGCACCCTGAGATGAAAGGGCGCAGCCGCGCAGGCCAAACACAGAAGCTGCCAAGCTTCCGGAACAGCCTGTGTGTCTTCCCTGACACCCAGGCGGGGCCGGCAGAATTACGATCTCTCCCTGGACCCCGCGGGCGGGCGGCCGATTAAATGCTATTTGCTGTTTAGGGTGGCTGGGCCTATTTTAACTGCTTGAAGACCAGGTGTTTAGACCCCCTTCCTGTCCAGGCCATTTTTCAGTGTTCATCGCTGCGGTATTTTGATTGACATTTATTCCGTCCTGCAACGCTGTACTGAAATGAATTTTATACCATTTTTTGGGGACAGATAGAGCTTTCTTTTAGGGGTGTTTAATCACCACTGCGGGGTTTTTTTTTACCATATTTCTGGAAAATTACAGAAAATTTTCAAAAAAATAAGTTTTTTTTAACATTATGTTAGAAAACATTTATTATCACCCAATTTTTTGGTAAAACATAAAAGATGGGGTCACGTCAGGTAAATAGACACCAAACATGTCAAGCTTAAAAATTGCGCGTACTCGCAAAAAAAAAACACCATACCCAAAATTGACCACAGGCGACCCTTTAAAAACTTTTACAGCTCATCAGTTTAGTGTTATCAGTGATTGATGGCCCTAGAATTATTGCTCTCACTGCGACGTTCGCAGCGATATGTAACATGTAACATGTGTAAAAAAAAAATTGAATCTTTAATTTTGTTTCCTATTTTTTATTCCTATCCACTTAACTTTATTGCTATTACATAGGGGGATAAGAAACCCCCTATGTCATAGCAAAAGATGTGACAGGTCCTTTTTATGGAGACATCAGGGGTCTCCAAGACCCCTAATGTCACCTAGGACCCCCGAAGAAGCTGATGAAGCAGAGATCTGCTTCATCAGCTTCTCTCCAGCGTCTGAAGCTGGAGACTGACACATCACTTCCGCATTCTTACAGCGGAGAGTGGACCGGAGGGAGGTCTTGTACCGGTCTCCCTCTGATCCCCTGTGACAGAGGCACTATGCTGGTCCCGGGCTCAGCGGAGCCCGGGATCAGTGACAACGGGAGGGGGTGGATCTAGAAAGGATTGTCACCAGCACACCAAAAGTTTTGAAGCAAAAAGTCCTTTATTGACAAATCGCCATCGCCATCCAAAACGGGAGGGGGCGGAACACACGGGCCGACCGCCCATACAAGCGATCCGCCAGCTCTATAGCCGGCGGATAACTTGTATGTTAACATCGCTGCCTGTTTTTAAATTGACTGGATTTCTCGCTCGCGCGCGCCGCAAGCCATGCACAAGTGGGCGTGGCTTATCTAGATACTTTACTACCGGGAGGTAGTAAAGGTAGGGGCCTGCAGCTCCCGCGGCCTTGACACCCGAACGTGCCAGGCCAAGGACCCTGGCGGGCCGGGTGTGGCCGCGCGCCGTAGTTTGAGGACCCCTGATCTAGAAGCATAAACAAACCATCTAGCCCATCTAGTGCATAACAACACAAGTGGCAAGTGTTAGGCCAGGTTCACACCTGCGCGATCCGTGACCACGCAGGAATCGTGCACGATAACGCACGGATTGCCGTGCAGTCACGGAGTCGCCCACCACCGCCGATCACGCTGGTGGCGCCATTATTTTATGGTGCAATCGAAAAACAGTTGTGTGTCGCAAAAAAGGGTACATGTAGCACATCGCTGTGGACGCGCGTCCCGGATTGCCCAGGTCTGCACCAGCCCTGAATGAAGCCTAAACCTGTCTTCATTTCATGCAAAAAAGCTTTGTAGAGTTTTACTTTTTCTTCCAGGTCATGAATTGACATTCAGATAAGCAGATGTTAACACTGTGCACATGTGAGAGATTTGCAGGAGAGGTTCTCTCTGGTTTAGGGAGTGTGTTGAACTCGGCACATAGAGGCAGAGCTGAGGTTATGGCCTTATTTCAACAAGGCACGCCTACTCTGCCTGTCTTATAAAACACAGGCAAGCCTCTCTCCCCTCCTCTACCAGAACGACAATCTGACACTTAACAATATGGCCACAAAGTGGGGGATTTTCTCTGCCGGTAAAATCAGCAATGACTTTGTGGTAGCTCTGCAGACTTTGCCAGCTCAGGATCACCAGGTGGGTACAAGCATCATGATCTGAAATGAACTGCTGACCAGGTGTTTACACTCCCTTCCTGTCCAGGCCATTTTTCAATATTCAGCACTGCGGTACTTTGACTAACATTTATTTAGTCATGCAAGGCTGTACTGAAATTAATTTTATTCCATTTTTTGGGGGACAGATAGAGCTTTCTTTTGGTGGTATTTAATCACCACTGGGATTTTTATGTTTTACTATATTAAGGAAAAATTACTGAAAATTTGGAAAAAATTTAGTTTTTTTTACATTATGTTAGGAATCAATTATTATTACCCAATTTTTTGGTAAAATATAAAAGACAGGGTCATGTCAGGTAAATAGACACCAAACATGTCTATTTACTGACGAAATTGCAAAAAACTACCATACCCAAAATTGACCATAGGCGGCGCTTTAAAAGCTTTTACCGCTCATCAGTTTAGTGTTATAGTGATTAATGGCCCTAGAATTATTGTTTTCACTGCAACGTTTGCGGTGATATGTAACATGTGCGGCGTAATGGGCGCAATCATCATTTTTGCACGTATGCAAGCCCGATGCATGTTTGCACGCCTGTATGTATGGGTGGGGGAAATTTTTTTGTGGGTTTTTTTTTTTTTTTCATGCGTGACTTTAAATTTTTTTTGCAACTTTAATTTTTTTTTTCCACTTAACAAAATGATCACATAATGTCAAAATACCTGAGCAATCTGACTGGTTGTAGGCATTGTTTAGGTATTTTGAGAGCTAGCAGGGCCAACTAGCAAGACACTGAAGCTTGGCCCAGTGGGAGATTCCTCCATCAACACAGTTTAGCGTAGATGGAGGAATCTGTTGCACTTTTTCCATCTGACCATAGAAAATCTTCAGATAATCTATAGGTGTATGGCCAGCTTTAGACAGTTGTCATCAGCAAAAATGTCCCCACTGTAAGATTTTGAGGAATCGATCGAGGAATCGCCGCTGTTTGCATTGTATTCTGAAATGTGCTGCCGCCACCTGTCAGAATACCTGATCAGAGCCGGCAGCTCATTGGCTGCCGCCTCTGATCACACAAAGATACTCCAACTGGCACCTTCGATCACCTGATTGAGGAATGCCGGCTAAAAGGGAGCCGATAGCCCCACACAATGTGCGCATTTTCGTCCGGTACATTGAAAACCCGGCCAAAATTCGGCCAGTGTATGGGCACCTTAAGAGTTGATTTCCCCTCAATAAATACAATTTTCCACTGTGAGTCTGCAGCCTCCGTTCACATCTGTAAAGATTACCTCTTATGCTCTGGTGTGTGTGGAAATCAATGGACTTTGATAGGGAGGAAGGAATGTGAACCTGTGAACACAGACCTTCATTCTCTGATTGGCTGTAGTTACTGTTTGGCCAACAATTTTTAGCCCAGCTCCACTGATTTTTCAATCAAAGTTTGTCAAGTGGGGTGGTGCTGGCAGAGCCAACCACGATTAGAATTTCTGCTGGTTCAGACAAAATCCTAACAGTACATGGCCATCTTAAAGGAAAACTATGAGGTGAGTGCTTTTCACTCATCTCATAGTTCTAGCCGACCTGTGACAATGAGACTGTCACAGGTCGGCTCAGTAGATCGGGAAGTGAGCGAACACATACCGGCGTTCGCTCACTTTTCGATCCTGTCACAGCTCTCTGCCGTGACAGGGGAGTGGCTGGGTTCTCCCCTCCCCGCTCCGATCCTCGAGCGCTGACTGGCGAAACGGACGGGGGAGGGGGCGGGTACAGCTGGCTCTGCCTCTAGATAGGCAGAGCCAGCTGTCACTCACGCAGCTGGGCGGATCCAGACATAATTGTCGGGATCCGCTTCAGCTGCATCGTCTCCGTATACTGAGCTTAGGGTAACGGGAGGACGCTAGTTTGTGTCCTTCCGTTACCCTAAGGAGAACTATTGGGAAAAGCCCTAACCCCATAGTTCTCCTTTAAGATGTGTGTCCTTCAGACATTGCCTCCGTTCCGGTCCAGTGCGAACGCAAAAAAATGCTGCATGCTCTGTCTTTTTGCGTTCGCACTGGACCGAAACGCAGGCAATGTTTTACCACACGTCTGATTGCACTGCAGTCGGGGGCCGTGGTTGCAGTGCCATTGACTTCAATGCACCGCCAGAATGAAGAGGGGAGTTTGGTGTGCGATTTCTGTGCGTTCCAGCAGCTACCGTTCTGGAACGCACCGCAATTTGTGTGAACTGGCCCTTATGATTTTTTAGTTAAAAATGCACTTAAGTTAAATTTAGTGCACCAAAACACTATATAAAACCCTTTTTTTTTTAAATATAAAAGATGAGGTCATAACGAGTAAATAGATACCCAATATGCCCAGGTAACAAAATTGTGTGTGTCCGTGAAACTGCGACAGAATTCAGTACCCCCATAAAGTCCATAGACGATGCTTTAAAAGAAAGCCCCCTACAGGTCATTAGTTTAGAGATGTGCATAAATATTGGCCCTAGAGCCCTAGCATTATTGCCCTCACTCCGGCGTGCGCGGTGGTACCCAACATGTGTAGCGCAATCGTCGTTTTCGTACGTAGGCGCACCTGACGTATGTTTACATGAAGACGCGCATGCTCGCGGGGGACTTTTTTTTTTTTTTTAAATGTTACATTTATTTTATTTCAAAAAATGTTTAACTTTACTTTAATTGCTATCACATAGAGGAGGTTACAAGCCCCACATGTGATAGCATATTGGTGGTGATGGGTCCTCTTTAAGGTGATACTGGGGGTCCAAAAGACCACTACTATCACCATTACACAAGAAATAAGCTATTGGAGTGCAGATTGCAGGAGCCCAGCACAGGCAGCTCAGGGACTGGAAGTGATGTAATCTGCATCGCTCCTGATCCCATAAAGCGTTCGCCGCTCTCCTCCTCAGCTTCCTGCCAACATCTGAGAGG